AGTATGATATAGCATACTGCACCCCCATCTAGCACCGTGCCTCTCTAATGTTTCACCCAATATGGGCTTGATTACATCTCTCAGATCAAGCCTGTGAAATGTTCGAGAGGGGAAGTCCTAAGCGGCGTTGCAATGTTGGGGTTGAATAAAGTTGGATGTGATATGATGTTATCAGTCTGCCACTTCCTGCATTCCTACTGAGCTCATAGAGCAAGGTTGGGCTCTCTTTGGTTGGCACCTGGAGTTACAGAGGGAGGGGATTTTCACATGGGCCTGAAGTGGTGGCATCTCTCTACAAACCTAGGTGTGTGGCGGCACAAACGTTTTACTTATTCTTTAATGGCATATAAAATTAGTAAGTGAAGTCATGCTTACAAGTGCAGAACCACACAAAAGGCTCATGTGTTAACATCCAGTGCACCTCCTCACTGGAGTATGTACAATAATTACATGTGCTCTAAAGTAATGATGTAATTTACATAATTACATCACAACTCATGCTTGCTTGACACGCTTTGTCTGCTTACAGGAATCCTTCAGACATCTTATTTCTTTCTTTTGGGATAGGCTCACTACCTGCAAGGAGTTTTCATGTTCAACCTGTGCTTGTATGGGTTTCCTCCTACATTCCAAAGACATTACGAAGGTTAATTGGCTCTGTATGTATGTCTGTGAGATAGGGACCTCAGATTGTAAGCTTCTGATGTGAATGTGCAGTATTTAAAGTGCTGTGTAAATTGTCAGTGCTATATAAATACCTGTAATAATAAAATTACGCAATCCCCTACAATAGCAATTTTATTTTTGACAAGATACTTGTGCAAGGTGTCTACATTTCCTTCACTAAATGAACAAAAAAAACAGCCAATAAAAGAGAGATAATATCTTTCTAGCTCTGCCCCCAGTGACTCCAATCTTCACTTTCTCAGACAACTACAATGGTCGCTAAAATGTTCAGTATTTACCACTTCTATCGCTTTCCCACTTTAATAAAAGAAGAAAAAAAAAAAGATCAGCTGGATTTCTGCTTTCTGTTTTGTCCCGGAGACAACTGTCATTAGCACAGGACATGAAAGAATCTCAAACACGGAGGTGTAGATCTTCACCACACAATCCAAAACTAGTGATGTTTTTGGCTAGAGTGTTTAAAGCAATATACATTCATTGTGGAATGTGTAATTACAACATGATTTGTTCTAATTAGTACCTTTTAGGTTGCTATAAATTCTCCTGAAGAAGCGAAGGATTGGCAAAACATGTTGAGGAACGTGTAGCGAACCAAAATTATCATCCTACTAGAACCATAAAAGTCTACATGTGTATTTGAAAATGTATTCACATGTACTGATGACCAGTATGCTGTTTTTATGTATGTTTTTTTACTCTATTTTTGTAAATAAACCGTATTCGGTTTTATGGCATTCTCTGTAAAGGTCAAAGGACCCTCCTAGCCATGTTCAGGGCTGGGTGAATCCAATTTTCTTTTTATAGTGTTATATGACCAGTATTGGGGTGTGTTGGTCCAGACCTTTCCTCTAATGTGGTGGCACAGATATGTGTGATGGAGTACCACCTTAACCTCATAGACTGCCTTCATTGAACCCACTCTTGTTGGGTGATGTGCATACATGTCTGGACTTACAAGATCATCTACAGTAACAAGATTACTTCTATATATAAAAAATAAAACATGGATACAAATTATTATTTGCAATTTAAATGCATTCCACACATATTAACTGGATGGACAGGACTGACTTTAGCCTTTTTATTTTATATTGTATTCTGTTTCATCCCTCATTAGTATCAAATACACAACAGTGGCTTTGTTTTCTGGCGTTAAGAGCATGCAAGAAAAGTAGTCTGAGAAAGTTACAGAGGAGCTGACCACATATTTGCTGAGGGGGAAAAACATCTAATATTTACCACCAAATCATGTGACCGCCAACAGTAATTGTGGTTGCTAAGTGCCTTTTAAGGTCCTGCAATCAATTCAGCGGGGAGATGGAGTGGAAATGTTTTTTTCTTCTGTTAAATCAAAATAATATTAGTGGCTAAAGCATGTGATTATGAAACAAGAGAGAAGAGCTCAGCTGACATGACGGGCAGAAAATATTACATTACCAGCCCTGGTAACTGGAGTATCAGAATGTAAAGTGAAACTCTGCCTCTTCACCCCAGAAAAAAATCATAGCTATGAATGTTATCATCTGTGCAATTCCCTGTCTATCATCTTCTCTTTTCTGTTGAGGGTGGTGGGATTACCAGCAGTACAGTTTGGCTTTTAAATGTGTTCAGTTCTTTGAATAGCCAATGACATCAAATGCATTGGGTGTTCTCTGATAATCGCCTGCCAGATTGGTGACAAGGCTGTGAAGTGTGTCCAATATGTGGAGAGTCAGCCCCACCTCTACTGAGGGATCAGTAGAAAGTTGGTGGGGGTGTGTGCACTGCACAATGCAGTCAGATCACACTCTAGGGGAGCTTATCACAGTGAATAAAAGAGTTGGGCATTTCCAGCATATTCTATTCTGTTATAACATCAGCATTGTAATAGGAACAGGGTCGTCCGTAAAATGAGGCAGCATCTAGGTGGTTGCCTCAGGCGACATCTCATTGGGTCACGGTTGGAGTGACGTTTGGTTGGAGTGTTCTATCATCACAAAAAGGCACTGTTCTAGGATCTCCAGGTTACCAACAAAAGGTAAGGAGGTGGACTGATGTACTACAATACCAGGACCTAGCTATGCTGTCTACTGAACCCCCAGTTGTACTTAATCTAACCCATGGCCTGGTTCAGTTGTGTTTTCATGGCCGCTAGTCACTTATCTGCATGAACTGCTTTTCTACTGAGCCTGATGTCACCAAGGCATGACAAACAGCTATAATCAGCCACTTCTGTACAAATACATCAAAGTTGGGTGAAAAAGAACAAGAGCATGTGTTCCCCATCAGCACATGGTTTTGTTCTTTTTCACCCAACTTTAAGAACATAATTATTACTGATTGAGATTTAGAAAAAGTGAAATTGTTCTTTCAACTTAAATTTGCTATAAAAGCCCCGATGGAATATTTGGTGCATAGAGCTAGCCAGAAGAAACTCATTTCAGATTTCCAACTCTGTAGTTCCCTAAAGTTGAAATATTTTTGGAGCTAAAATTTAATTTTTGGGTAGAGTGTCCCTTTAACATAAGGACCGCTGCTTGGCCATTTTTTTGCAGTCTCTTATGGCAACACAGTACCCAGCATGTGAGTGTAGTAGTGGCAGTAAAGGAGGATAGGATCTGCTTCACCATCACTAATGCTGCTGGTCAAAAGAATTTCAGGATGCTGGCTGCATCTGCAGTGATTACAATGCCACCCTACATGTGTCTGAATGCAATTCTTGATGGGAATAACTGACTATGATACAACAGAGTGATAAATTCCATTTCTAATAAGATATGACCATTGCCAATGCACAAGCCACCACCATAACAATAAAACATTTGAGGCACGTAAAATAAAAAAAGAACGTTGTTTATTGTTTAAAACATTTTTATTGCTTTGCATCATTAAAATACATCCATATATTATTTTCCACTTGTATCAAAATATAATCCGATCATTGTTGCAAAACCTAAAAATGACCAAGTGATTCAGTAAAGGGTTGTATACCTTGCGTTTAGGTGCTTTTACCAGAATAAAACAATAGAAGCCTGGTGCATCCAGGTATTTTCAGGCCTAAAATGTGGAATATAACATGGGTGCAAAAAATGAAAAAAGGGCCTCAGTCATGAAGGGGTTAACTTCTAAACGCACCAAAACACATGTACACGTGTGTAAGATGCGTTTATTTGCGGAAATCTCTTTGGCTACTTCAATGGACTGTTTTCACTGGACAAAGGACAGATGCATCTAAAAGCATATGCGTGTAAACACGCAAACATTTTTATTGGTTTGTATCATTATTAAAATACATCCATATTTTATTTTCCACTTGTATCAAAATATAATCTGGTCATTGTATCAAAAAATATGCCTCCTGTTGACAATTTATGGTGTCACAAGCATTGTCGCAATGGATAGTGGATCTTCCTACAGGACTGCAAGAGCCACTAACAGCAATAGTCACACCCTGATAATGCTCCCATATGCGGGCACTCACAAAAGATCCCACAGCCTGTTAAAATCACTCTAACACTTTAGGTTTCAATCACTTAAAACAGCAACTTGCAGGTACTGTATACACACAGAAATAGCAAGTACTTTAAATACTTGTTTCCAGTGAGTATCTCTTATATAAATTATTTTATAGTCAATTGCACTCTGCCTTTGAACCTGCTAGAAAATGTCACTATTGCAGGAGAGACAATTCCCTAGTATAGCCCAATATCATATCACTTGCATATCATAGCCCTTTCCTCGTCTAATTACTGCCTGTGCTTGTCAAGCTCCTCAACTTACCTCCCTACATAACCCTTTAATGTAGCAGCTGGGACAGGAGAGAAGGGGAATTCTATACTATGCCACTTGAGTGACAGCTCCGAGTCTGCTGGCATCACATTCAAGATGGCGGCCCAGCAGCAGTCCAAGTGCTTATGGATGTCTATAAAAGAAAGACTTTTACAGGTCAATAAAAAAGCATAAAATACATTAACTGCACCTATAATCTTAGGGGAAGAATAATGTTGTGATGATTGCGCTGGTGACAGGGTCTCTTTAAATGCATGAGATATTTTATACCCAACCCTTATTTATCTCATGATCATTTTCTCCTAATTTTTAATTCACAAACCTAAATATTGTATAGATGTGTAATTATTATTTCATCGCATAAATTGGACTTTTGACTGTTGAAATCCTTTTCTTATTGTACATACATGGGCCATGCAAGGCACCATATTAAGACAATAACAGCTGAACCAGAGAAAACCAGCTTTGTTAATCCTGTAAGCCATTAATGAAGGAGGTTGGTAGTGTGCATATGATAAAATCTTATAAAAAAGACCTGTCAATGAAAACCCCAGAAATGGTCACCAGTCAGAAACACAGATTTGATACCAGGAAGCTGTACTTGCTTCTGCAGATAAGCATACATTTTGTAGCTGGCACTGAGGATATCCACCTTCCCTTAATTATAAAAGATCAGTTTAATTCAAATCCATGAGAGTAAAGAAATACAGTTGTACTTCTCTATGACCTCATGATCATAGCAGCGCCTACAGCTGAATCCACATCCTTCCCATAGACTACAGGAAAAGAAAACACTCTCTCCAACTCCTGCTGCAACACCGCATTCCGTGCCAAGACACTGCCACTTCCGATGATGCGTGTAATCCCGGCTTCCCTTAACCTCTGGGACGGCAACATGGAATGAATGTTCTCAATAAGCCCGCGGCACAGCGCCCTAGTCACATGACCTAGTGAAAGGCTAGCAGTTGAGATGTTTGACACAGAAGCAACACTGTCCGGAGCATGCCTCTCTCCAAACAGAGTGGGACAGATTGTAAGTTGGGTCTCATGTTCAGATAAAGCAGCATTGATCAGCTTGGAATATATGGTGGAATCAGATGTTTCCAGACCTGTAAAGGCAAAAGAAAAGATAATGAAATATTATTGTCTACCAATGTTTTATTATCTCATCAGAAGAAAATTTGGAAAGAGCAATATGTGCCGTTATGCGAGCAGAAAAAAATTGCCGTCTGGAGACGGCAACCCGCAGATGCAGCAGTGCCGTCCGTTCGTTTTTCTACTACGGGCGGACGGCAAGAGGTTAAAAGTACACTTCAGTACCCCTGAACATTCTTTTATCATCCCTAAGGGGACACTGTGAAGCCACTAATTTCCATCTTGACAATCCTCCTCAAAAAATGTGTATGCCGTTGCTGTGTCTCCAATATACCGGCCACCAGTCCATACTTGTCAGAACTTGGCTGGGTTCCACAAATGTTATCAAAGTTTAAAAAAGGACCGGTGGCTGTTGAATTTAACCACAAAATACCTTGAACCAAAACCCCTGAAGGGCTTTTTGCTTTAACAGGATAAAAATTGCTTCCTGACACCTAGAAGTTATTTATATATCCACATGGATCATCGCACTGGTGCGCTTTTCTTAATACTTCACCAAATTTGATACATTTTGTTTCCCCAGACCTCTATTCATGCACGGCACACTGTACACCAAACAAAATCTTCATCCTTGCTACCACTTATATTAGGGAACTGGGACCAAAATGTTACCTCGAAAAGCAGATTTGCTATTTAAGATGCTTTGTTGTTTTGACCAAAAAACAGGACCATAGAGCATCTCAGGCTAGAGACTGGGCTTGGCTCCTTAATGTTCCTTGTGATTCATTCTGGAGCATCACTTCATTCTTAAGTCTCCAAGTCTAATTTTTTCATTATACAGAGATCTCATCTCAATGAATTCCCCTAATTTACTAGTATTTGGCAAAATGGGAGACAGACCTGGAAAGTACCACGCAGACTGGAAAGCCATTTCCATTTGGCTTAATGTTGTCAAAAGCTTGTTGTGCCAAGTAAATAGATACCAAAAATTGCATGCGTCCGTGAAATGGCGAAAAACTACGGTACCAAAAACTGTCTATAGGAGAAGCTTTAAAGATTTTACAGCTCATCAGTTTAGAGTTACCCATGAATAATGACCCTAGAATTATTGCTCTCACTCCGGCATGTGCGGAGTTACCCAACGTGTGGCACAATTGTCGTTTTTGTTTGTTTGCGTTAGTATGTGCGTGTACGCGGGGGATTTTAAAACTTAATTTTTTTAGGTGTTTTTGCATTTATTTTATTTATTATTAGGGTGCTAGAATGCCCCTAATATCACCTTTGCAGCTGATCAGGCACACATTGTGCTTGATCAGCTTCTCCCCTAGACTCTACGGCTGGGGAATAACAGCTCAGAAACTGGAAGTGATGAATGCTCGTCTCACTCTCTGCTGACAACCACGATGTCGGCCCTGGGCCTGCAGGAGGGGCAGTGGAGCCCAGGAAACGCGGGGGGGGGTGGGGGGGGTCATGTTTGCCAATCTGTGAAAGTAATCCGGCTACCTTACAGTCGCCTGGTTTCAGCAAAAAGCCGACAGTCAGCTTTACACGTGTAAAGCTATGCTTACAGGGGCCCACTGCTGCCAACGTATGGCATACATCAGCAGCAGTGAAAGGGTTAAAATGCAAGAAAACCTCACCTTCCCCATTCTATTAATCTGAAAGTGCATTTCGGCAATGGAGAGTCTCCCGAGAAGCAATATGCATCACAATTTGTCCTGACCAACAATATCCAGATTTATCTGACCCTAACTGAACCTTTCTTGGTATCATTTAATCCCTGAACTGTTATTTCTTATGTTTGCAGAAGATACAGATAAAAGTCGAGAAAGCAACTGTTAGGTTGATACAAATACATATTTTATATCCATAAAATACAGAATTTCACCACTAAAACCACTCAGCCCTGTGCAGTATCCCAGAGGAAGTCTGTGCACAGAAAAACAAAGTGATACAGTCTTCACAACAGCTAATGAGCCTAGGAAATTCAAGGAGCCTGGAGAAAAGACATCATTTATATAATTGTGTTAGTTTCTTTTAATTTACCAGCAGATTTTCTGAAAATAGCCAGGAAAACACAGCTCCTGTATTATGTATATTGTAGATTAGAAACAGTCCATGACAAGGCTTTGACTTAAACTCAAACTCCAGGTTTAATGAGACAAAAATACCTGCAAAGGACAACTATATCCATTGTTGGAATATTAAATCAGATTAACTGCAGATCCTGCTTTTGTTCTGTAGATACTGCAGTACAGCTTGCCAATAAGTGCCAAGTGTGATGGCCTATTACCTACTAGAAATTACATGATCCTGTCCGACACCCCTTCAGACTTGCAGCATTCTTCAGCAGTACGTCAACAAAGATAAAACTCCAAAAGCAGGACAAGGATGTCATTTAAACTCAGGCACTTCTGGGAGAGCAAATCAACCAATAACAGCAGCAGGGAGAAGAGAATAGTGGAAATTCAGGTTGACAGTTTACGGGTGACATGGTTGCAAGGAAGCAAATTGTAATTTTTTTAAACTATTTTGCCCATTTAATGGCTGGAGGGAGTTTAAAAAGAAAAGATAATTTTAATGACATGAGGTCTGCATAGCAGTGAAAAACATATGTAAATGTTTTAATCAAAGTGTTAGGAGCATGTCTAGTGCTTCTGTGTATGTTGCAACCTCCCAGCGCCTCCTGGTGGTTGCTTGTTGCCACTGCACCTATTCTAGTCATCTTGTCAGCTGTGGGCTAATGAGCCCCGTGATACACCTTAAGCACCGCTCCATCATCTTCAGGCTAATGAGCCTGGCCACACACCGCTCAGCCCTGGGACTGGTTAATGGCGCTTTTTTTAAGCATCAGAAGCCCAGGGCTTTGGGCTTGTGATAGTGCTGTCTAGTTCGGGCTGCACAAGCCTGTACTTGAATGCCTGCAGTTGCATTTTCCTTTAATATTTAAGCCTACCTAAAAGGGCCCACGCACACCAATCGGTTCATGTTAAAAAGGTTTTGATATCTGAATCAGATTTTTTTATTTTTTTTTTCAACCCCTTTGACTTTTTATTTCTACAGCAAATTTGAAAAGGAAGCTGCTGGTCAGGTTTGTAAATGTCTCAGCCTGGAAATGCATCAAAGATTTAAAAAAAATTGTACTTCTAGGACTGGGAGAACATGTGACACTTTCCTGTACTACCCCACAATGCAGTGCAAAGCGCCTGAGTGCTTAGTCGCCAGGCCTGAGCGCTGTGTTATGGGAGCATGTTCTAACAAAGGGGTATGTTACTTTACCCAGTATAGAAAAGTACAGGTTCTCTTTAAAGGAACAAATGAGACCCTATGCTATAAGGAAATAGAGATGAATGAATTCCATGCAGCTGCTGAAATATATAATAATACAATATAAATACAATCACCCTTACCTAGCTCAGATGTCCATTGGGCCAACATTCTGACAAAGGAAGCAAAAACATTTCCACCATTTAGGGATGCAGCTACTGCTAGGTACCGATTGTTCATGTACGGAAAATAAGTCATGGCTTCTGCAGGGCTGGGGTGGTCTTCAGGCTGGAATCCCTCTGGCATGGAGAATGTCAGCTGGGCAGAAGTGCTAATATTCAGAACTTAAGAAATATAAAATGCCAATGATGAGAGCAGAATATGCAGTTTATTATGAGCTGAAATGCAGTCTAAGTACAGATGAAAGACAAATGCATTTTCCTCTCATTAACATATTTCTTACCTTTTAAAAAAACAAAACAAATGAATAATAATAATAATAATAATAATAATAATATATAATAATAACATTGTAACTTCCCTTAACACCATGGGCCTTTATTAGCACTGGGGCCTTTATTACCTGTAGAGCTTGGGGACCACCCTAATTTCCAAGCATGCCAGCAATGGTACCCCATACAGTTATCAATACTGTAATGCGCTAAACTCATTTGCTAACACTCACAAATGTCTTTGAAATGTGACAGAATAACTATGTACCCAGGCAAAGCACAGAACTATAATACAGCGGAGAATCACTGACATACAGTAGATGCAGAATTACCAACAAAAAGATCTGATTGCATGATTGTGAACTGAAGTGCCACATTCCTTTTAATAGTCCAGAAACAAATGTATTTAATGTAGTTTAGGGGACACTACAGATATAGGCAACGAGTTTCAGAGGCTCATATAAATACCCCCTTACCAAGGTAGAACATGTATCAGGACTGTAATGGCCTGAAATTGTGTGTGAATGCATAGAGCCCGTCCACAGCTGGTTTGGCAGCCAAACGGCTCTTCAATTCCAAGATCCTGCAATTTCACGCTACAAACCTTTGGAAGGTGGAAGCTCCCTTTCTGGTAGTGAGATTATCTATACCATAGACTCTTTCACATCATAAATGGCCAGCCACACCAATAGGGCAGTCCTTGCAGATCTAGCGCTTTCTTTCCAATTGTTTCAAACAAACAGATCTGTCCATATAAATTTATGACCAATATTTAACAGTAAAATATAGATGGCCAGACAGAATTAATATTTTCTGACCACACTTAGGCTCCATTCACAATGGGACTTTGTCTCCTGCATTTGGCGCGCGTCTCCAAGTCTCCACAGATCCTGGTTGCCAACCGCAGAAAAGTACATGTCGCAAATTTGGCAAACATTTTGTTATGTTTTCACGTGCACGAACGCGTGTCAAAAAACATGTTTCCTCTGTTGCATTTGGGTGCCATTACCTAGTAATGGCAACACAAACACATTTTGTGTTTGTGAACGTATCGTGAATACGTGATCACAATATGCCCCAGTGTGAATGGAGCCTTAGACAGTTATATACCTAATCCATGGGCATAAAGCTAATAGCTCCCAATGACTGCTGACATCCAATCATTACTGATAGATATAGAGAGGATGCTAATCCATAACTTTCTTCTGAAAACTGATAGTTGCCTGGCTGTCTCTGGATTGACTTACCTGGCACAAGCATGCAGATCAGAAAAGTCAGTGTGACAAAATACCAATTTCCAATAACAATAAAAATCTCCATACGTGTTCCTAGTCAGTATAGCAAAGAATTGAAGCTATTGGATCAGCATGACAGCTCTGCAACTGTTTTTTCCGAAAGGAAAGTCTGTCTCACGCTTCTATCTGCCCACTACATGCTTCTTAGTAAGAAACGAATGTCTAAGTTCTCTTAGATATGTGCACTACAAAATAGTAGGGGTTGAGACTGTAGCCCTCGGCCAGTAGAGCTGCAGCTAACGATTATTTTCATAATCGATTAGTTAGCCGATTATTAAGTTCGATTAATCGATTAATCGGATTTTAAAAAAAAAAGTCTCCAGTGATGGACTACTAGTTTGTATTGAGATTGTAGTCCATCACTGCGTGCGGGGCTTGAGTGTGGAGCCGCGAACAGGCTTCAGCGGTGGGCGTGGCTTATGCGTCCTGTGGGCACGGCGGGAGCAGCGTGCGGTGGGAGGTGTCCTGTGAGCACGGCGGGCGCAGCGGTACGTGAGCAGCGTGTGACGTGTGCTTCAGGCCGCGTGTAGAGCCCCGAACAGGGAAATCAATTGATAGCCGACGAATCGACGATCGAAAACGTTGGTAACGTTTTCAATCGTCGATTTTAATCGACTAAATCGATTAACTGTTGCAGCTCTATCGGCCAGTGCAGGAAAACAGAAAAGCAGCGGATACAAAGTAGCACCGGGCATTTATGTGTCTGAGCCTTTATAGCCGGGGAGACAGCAAACACTTTATATAGAATACAGTATATGTTGGGTGGCAAAAGGAAATAGAGTGACTTAAAGTGACTGTGTCATGAGAAGTATGGGGGTTGCCATTGCTGGCCTTTTAAAAATGCTAGTTACCTGGCTGTGTCTGACTTAAGTGTTTTTAAATTGCTGGCCTGGAACACGCATGCTTTAGGGGAGTGCCATAAAAGTCTCAGAACTCTATTTCTATACCTGTCAGCGGCTCAGACAGCACTGAAGTCCAAGCATCAGCATGATAGACAGGGAACTAGCATTCTCATAAGGTGTGTTTCATATGACTTCCTCCATAACCTCTCATGACAGAGTCCCTCTAACAACTGATCCTGTACAATACATCCATGAAAAGTGAGCACCTTGGGAGAGCGGCGATCCTATCATTCACTACATACATGAATCTAAATGTGTGGAAACATCCCACATTCAGTTCGAGAGGAGTATCCATAGAGAAAGAAAGGTTAATAATTGCTGTTTGGCATGAAAGTTGCACTGCCGTGATTTTAACAATATCTTAAGAATGAATGTGTATGGTATGGGCCTATGAGATCAGCTTAATAATGTACAAAAGATACGCAATCACTATGACTGTCATAATCAGAATCTTTTCAGGAATCTAATGTAAGTGTAGTCACTTAGGTACCAAGCCAGATGCCACCATGGAAACACACAACACTCCTCGCCTGGGACCATTAATAAATGATTTGCTGTGGACATAGCTGGGCACAAGTTGCTGGTAAAGTGACATCCTGGCAGGCAGCCATTACTACAATGAAAATAAACTATTAATTATGTCAGGCAGACAAATGTCTGTGTTGTGTGCCTTGTAATTACTACACTTAGGCGTCTATTCACGAAGCTGCCGAGGGATCTGGCCGAGGGATCGTAGCTTCGGCCGATCCTTCGGCTAGCTTCGGCCCCAGGACCCCTTCGGTTCAGTAGAACCGAGGGGGTGCTGTACGGGCTATTCACAATTTTTTTTTTACAGCAGCAGAGCCGCCGGACAATAGGAAACTATTGGGCGGAGCTAGCTGTCACTGCTAGCTCCGCACAATCGTTTTCTATTAACTTTTTTTACCTTTTTTAACTCTTTTTCTGTTCTGCTCGGTCCCTCTGAGGGACCGAGCAGAACAACCGAGCCAAATGCCGCTCGGCGGCATTCGGCTATTCACTCACTGCAGTTCGGCATCTTTAAGAATAGCCGGAACAGCAGTGAGAAGCCTGCCGGGGGTTCGGCTCAGCCGATCCAGATGTTGGATCGGCTGAGTCGAACTCCTTCTGCACTTCGGGTCGGCCGAACATGCTGAGCATGTTCGGCCGACCTGAAGCCACACGAAGCAAGCCGATGTATGGCCGATTTCAGCCGATGTACGGCTGAAATCAGCCGTACCAGCCTGAAGTGAATAGCCGAACAGTGTTCGGCTCACTTCACTTCTGATCGGTCATTCACTCGGCTGCCCTCGGCAGCATAGTGAATAGACCCCTTAGAATTTAAAAAATTAATTTTATAAAGGAAATAAAAAATAAAAAAAAACATGCAGGGACTGGAAGAAGCTTCAGCTTTGTGGGGTAACCTCCATGCTGCTTCCAGGTATAATTCTGCTATAATGAGGTGGTACCATAAAAAAAAGGAGGATACAAATAATAATAGTAATAACAGGGAAAACAAGATGTACAGTATAGAGGAAAATGTTTGTACAGTTATAAAGCAGTACATCAGCTAGGAAAGTAAGGGAAGGTCTGGCCAAGTATTTACCCCATTAACAACTTTTCTCTGGGAAGCCGAAGGGTGCCAAAGGGCTTATGAGCACCAGTTCTATTAGAGGGGTAGGCTGTTTTTTAGGGCAGTATCTGCCTAACTTTACCACTACAGTCCAGTTAATTTTTAAGCAGAACTCAGGATAAATGTATTATTAACCCTTGCAGTGGGGCTACCCACACACTACAAGGTTTAACTGCTCGTTTTGGTCTAGAGAGGAAAATAACAAAGCTATACTAAGCAGATCCTCCGACCTGGTTGGCTGTGACAGCGCTTCTTCTAGTCTCTCTCCTCCTACACTGCAGCATATCACCACATTCCATACATTGTGTATACAACGTGATGATTTACAAGACCTTAAACCCCTGCAGTGGTGGGGGAGAGGGGCTCCAGGGACTGTTCTAACAACAAGCCAGCTCAGAGGATCATGTGAGTATAACATTTTTATTTTCCTCCCTAGACACAAGCGAGCACTTAACCCTTGCAGTGCAGGGGTAGCCCCACTGAAAGGGTTAATAATATTTTCCCTCAGAGTTCTTTTTTTAACCATTACTCAAGCAATAGTACAGTAAGCCTCTGTCAGTACCTGCATCTGTGCTCTCAGTTGCAGAAGAAAAGACTGAGCACTGGAAGTCTCCCAGTGACACTCCAACCTCCGTCCCTTGTGGAATTCCACACCAAGCATAAGAAGATTTCCCTGCTATGCACCCTGCGTCTACAGCAGGAGGAAGCAGGGAAACTGGAAAGCCCCAATCTTGCAATCTAAAACACAAGCAGAGAAACGTTCTATATCTTAATGTTAATAAACAAAAATGTTGTCATTAGTATTACAAAACAAGTTACAAAACTCTAGGTGAATGATGCTCAACCTGTCCCCACTGGTGGTACTCTTCCCTAATTTTGGTGGTACACAGCAGTTCTGTAAAGGTCACATACTTGAGATTCCTGCACCTAGCCTGCAAGTAGATGGGTTTCCCCATTTGGGTTTTTGACAAAACCCCACAGGGCATTGAAGAGCCACCTTAGCTAATGTAGGCCGCGACCTATGGACATGGTCACTTGCTGATCTGATGCATCTAGTGAGTTTAATGGGATCTCCTGGATGAAGGGGAGCATCTAACCCTGTAATGATCAAAACTATTGTTATCCTTTAGAGCTTTGGCCAGAGAATGGTTTAAAGTCTAAAAGGGGAAAGGGGGTGGCTTTTACTTCCTTTATAAATACAAAAATTCAATCTATAAGTAGATTGAAAAAAAGGGAGGTATCATTTACTATCTTTTTTAGTGGCAAGAGGAGTGCATCAAAACCAGGAACACTGGGCTGAAGACAATGAAGAATAATGTACCACATGTGGCAATGTTGAAACCTTGCAATAGGTTATCCACTGAGCTCTGCATTTTGGTGGGGTGCCTATCCTGCCCATACCCTGAATATGGATATGCAAATTCCCATTCCCAGGCTTCTGTTCTAAACTGAATTATGTGACCTCTATGGTGTATGATCCTGAATGGCACTTTTAGCTTATACTACCTTTCTACACTACAGGTTTACTTTAAACTGCATGGTAGCTAACGGCAGCTTATTGGGCATGCGATTTACAGCCATTGACAAATTGTCGGTACCCTTACAGCTCATGGAAACAATCCTGAAAAGTGCTGAAAATAAAACCAATCGTCTTATGTACACCTGCATGCTTTTGGTATAAAAAAAAGAGTAAAGCAATGAGAGAAAAAAAAAAAAAAAGAAGCTTTCTAAGAAAAGAACACCGTACCTACTAAGAAACATGGAGATCGTTCAATTATGTTTTGGAACTGCTTTGCTCAATTTGGAAGGAGGTGCCTTGAATCTGTGCAAGTATGAATCTCTCCTAATGCGGGTTCAGCAGGGTGGAAGCCTGTAGATATAAGCCATTTACGGTCAAACGAGTGAGTCCCATCGCACTCCTGACCAAAATCTACCCATGACTTGTGGGTGATGCAGTGACTACGGATGACGCTGATAATCAATCCAAAGTGTATTGGACTATTCTTAATTGAGCCATGAGCCTAATCCTATTGAACATTTATGAAATGAGAGAACACAAACAAACAGTCTGGAGAGGGCACCCTTCAAACTAAGACAGCTGGAGCAGTTTGCTCAAAAAGAATTGGTCAAACTACCTCTTGGCATGTGCAGTAGTCCCATTGGGAGCTTGTTTTCAGTAATTGACTCTAAAGGTTTTGCAACAAAATATTAGGCCAAGGGTCCCATAATTTTTGTCCAAACCATTTTCATTTGAAAATCAAAAGCAAAGTCTGATTTTTATTAAGAATGGAATAAACAATAATGGATGCAGCTCAAATCCTCCATCAGTCTCTACCTGGGAGCTCAGCGGGTGCTAATCATAAGCCTGTCCTTGCTTATCCAGTACACGCCAAACAAACACAATCATATTCTGCTGCCCCTCACTGTAAAATTTTATTTAACCATATGATGAGGTATACAGTTGCACAGCATCTCCACATTTCGTACCGCCCTCCTGTAACACGTTTCACCCATATGGGCTTTCTCACAGAGATGAGAACGCCAGGAGGAGGGATCTCTTTATAGATGCAAGATGACATTTTCAGATGAGAGTTCCTGCATGGTAACTCTTTCCCCATCGGAGGATTACTCAATCTCCCACGAATATATTACACACATCAAATCCTATACAAATGATTCTCACAACAGCTTTAACAATAGCATATAGCATGATATGATGTATTATACTAATAATGGATGCCAATGACTTTGGTCAGTTTCAAGTAATTTCAGAGAAAATTGTGGGTTCTTCTCCTGTTGTGGAAGGGTACCATCAAATGTGTCCAAGTATATAAATGCAGCTTTAGTTAGTACTGCATGTACATACCACAGATTTACTTGTAATTAATGCTTTATAAGCCTGGAGAAGATTAAGGTTCTAGCAAATAACTAGGTTCTGGATGTTAGGGGAAAAAAAAAACATGCTGTGGATGCTTATCAAGCATCCACCATCCACAGCATGTTTTGTTTTTTTAGGGATGCACCGATACCAATATTTTTTCCGGTACTCGCAGATAACGAGTAACGATACTATGTGCCCCGATTATAAGGAAGTCGGGCGAGAGATCATAACTCGTCGCCTGGCTTCCTGATTGCCTGCAAAGCCGGTGTTCTATCAAATGAACACCAGCTTCACTTGCCGAGGGTGACCAATCAGGAAGCACGTCCTGAGCCAACTCCCAGTTGCCCGATTGGCTAGGAAGCAAACCCCAGTTGTTCCTAGGCAGCCTGGTTTCCTAACCAATCAGGAAGCTGGTAGGTGAGTCATGACATGCTGCCCGGCTTCCTGATTGGCTAGGAAGCCAGCTTCACTTGTTGGTAGGCAGCCTGGCTTCATAACCAATCAGGAAATCGGGTGGCATATCATGACCTGCCTCCCGGCTTCCTGATTGGCTAGGAAGCCGGCTTCACTTGTCCCTAGGCAGCCTGTCTTCCTGACCAATCAATAAGCCGGGAGATTGGTCATTAAGTGCCGCCCGGCTTCCTGATTGATTAGGAAGCCAGGTTGCCTAGCAACAAGTAAATGCCGGCTTCCTAGCCAATTAGTAAGCCGGGAGGCGGGTCATAACCCACCACCCGACCTACTGATTGGAAAGGAAGCCGGCTCCATGCTCCTTGGCACTGCCGGTGAGAGGGAGATCTCCCTCTGACCGGATCTTCTGGGAACAGAGATAAGTATCGGAGTACTCGACTAAATACTCAATAGTATCTGTATCTGCGCATCCCTATTTGATATAGACAACAACCTTGTTGTTTTTCCTTTTCTGTAATCAGCCATTTAATTGTAGAAGAGACAATGTCTAAATGAGAGAAAGTAAATACCGTGTAAAAGTTACTCACACTTCTACCATAATAATTCACTTACATGTCAACATTCCAAGTTTTGGTCCTGGTGTTAAAATATCCCCAACTAGCTGCATTCTGAACAGACATAACAGGTCTCTTCATCCCGCACACCATAGAAACAATGTAGTCCTGGATTGTCCCTGCTACGTCATATTCACGGAGGAAGTCTGGCCTGCCCAATAATGAAAAGTGTCAGTATAATAGAGAGCTTGCAAACACTCAAAGGTTTTAAGTCATTTTATACACACACCTATATTATTATATGCATATTACTTAAAGTTTTTTAAAGCAATACTAAATCCAAGGACAAAAATGTAGTGGGGGCGTACATGTGGTGGCCGCAATAGTTTTCTTTTTCAAAGGCTAAGAACATTTTAGCAAGTACAGAAAATATCTGTTAATCTTGCCAGAAACGCAGAGTCTTGTCACTTCCTGTAAGTTGAAAAGACAGCAAATCAAAGTGATCTTTCTTTCTGAAAAATACTAATCCCTGCACTTTCAATGTAACAGAGATGAGCTCCGGCCTGGGTGTGTCCAAGGTTCCCTCATAGGTACACTACTATTCTGTTACAACCACCGTTTTATGTATTTGCACATACCTTCCTTAGACTTGTCTGTACGGGCAGTATGACAACTTACTGACTTGGTGATATTCCCAGATAGTGTCCAACTCGATAAGTCTGACTCAGAGTAGAATCCAATGTAGTTTATTTACCATCTCAATACACAGGGTGTGATTCCTTGTCATTCTTAAGGTGGCCATACACTTTACAACCTTTGTCTTGCGATGGTTGTAAAGTAGTTAAAAAAACGTACGATCTGCCCATCTTGGACAGGCAGATCGTACTTGCAATACAAAACACAAAAATTCCCCAGCCTCAACCTGCCAGCCAGCCTGCAACCAAACAAGTAGCCCTGTCAACAGTATGCGTTAAAATCAGAGGTTTTAGTTGCACAAACTTTTGGGCAAAAATATGTAGAAGCCACACTGCCGCGCCAAGGCACCTCTGCAAAGTGTGGTCCTAACTCTATGTATCCGAGTCTCCAAGTGTGAGCATATTAATGAAGTTGATAAATTACATGCAGGTGTACCTGGAGGTAGCCAACTCCTCCTAATAAGGTGCAGGGACGCACTGGAGGCCCAGCAACCAAAAATGCACGCTGGGACCCCAGTGCGTCCCCCAAACCAAAAATAGTCAAACTAGAAAAAATGGTACATGCATGAATCTATAACCGGCCTTTATAGCAGGGCGCACATTGGGAACACATTGGGAATAGCAGAGCGCACATTGGGAACCAGCCAGCCTGCAACCAAACAAGTAGCCCAGTCAACAGTATGCTGGCTGGCAGGTTGAGGCTGGGGAATTTTTGTGTTTTGTATTGTTGTAAGCCTTCCCAATGTGCGCCCTGCTATAAAGGCTGGTTATAGATTCATGCATGTACCATTTTTTCTAGATCGTACTTGCAACCTGAGGGGCGGGCTTCCCATGACCGCAATGCTGAACGTGCAGTGTGCGCATGCGCACACCGGCCCGTTCGGCATTTGTCTCCCGAGCATCATTCAAACCAGCCGAAAATCGTACGATTTTCGGCTGGTTTACTAGCATGCTCCTTAGACAAAAGACGTGCGACCGCACAGTAGAAACGGTCGCACGTCTTCCTTCACACTGCACGATTCTCGTACGATCGCGGGATTTCCCGCGATTCTCGTACGAGAATCGTGCAGTGTATGGGCACCTTTAGAGTGAAAAGACATTCCTATCTTTGACATTAACAGGATATCCAATTGGATATTGAACATTCAGAATAAGAGATATAACATAACTGGCTTCTGCCATCTCCATACAACATAACCGTTCAGTACACCAAAGCTTAACATAACATAAGCTTGACATAAGGATAAAAATCTTTATTTTAGCAATAGGACTGTAATTGCCAAATCTCATTTGAGTCAGCTAAAAATAACTGTCACAAAGTAAAGATCCTTATATTGGTGTTTGAACTTGGACTGTGGATTGTGCCTTATGCTTGCTACTACCTTGTTTTAGCCAGACAACCCTCCTCTGTGAGCCTCACCGCTTTAGTTTAACCTTGTTACTGGAGCTGCACTTCCCTTCTCTTCTAGGCTAAACCCCACTTGGCTGCACCCTGTCCAATAACAGCACTCTGAATGTCAACTGAGGCACTCTTATTGGACAGGGAGATGTTAACTGGCATGGTTTAGCCTCGAATTCGGACCCCAAGTAACCAGACACAAAGACTAGCAGAGGTCTTATGGTGTTTACTCTAAAGCAGAGATTTCACTTATAAATATTGAAAATGGCTGAGAGAGTCACTTTAAGAAGCTGATATCCAGATTTGAAAATGGCTATGTGATTTTTTGTATGACAAGTATTACCTGTTCTTTAAGTACCAAAATATTGTAGCACAACCAAAGCCTGATGCCACGCTGAGGTGGGACTGCGGCGGAGGTAATGAAGCCAGGAATTCTGTACTACATCGTCCGTCCTCCCAAGTAATGAGACGGCTGACTTCTCTGGGTTCAAAGAATCGCAGGTTTTCACTGTTAATCCAGTGACATCCTTATAGAATGTAAACAAGAGGATTTCAGCTCACAGGTTAACTCAGCATCAATGACAAGCAGAAGGTAAGTAAGGTAAAAGAAGAGTTTCAGTCTATAGGATTTACACTTTTTCTTATGGAAAAAATTGTTTTGTATTGTTGTAAGCCTTCCCAATGTGCGCCCTGCTATAAAGGCTGGTTATAGATTCATGCATGTACCATTTTTTCTAGATCGTACTTGCAACCTGAGGGGCGGGCTTCCCATGACCGCAATGCTGAACGTGCAGTGTGCGCATGCGCACACCGGCCCGTTCGGCATTTGTCTCCCGAGCATCATTCAAACCAGCCGAAAATCGTACGATTTTCGGCTGGTTTACTAGCATGCTCCTTAGACAAAAGACGTGCGACCGCACAGTAGAAACGGTCGCACGTCTTCCTTCACACTGCACGATTCTCGTACGATCGCGGGATTTCCCGCGATTCTCGTACGAGAATCGTGCAGTGTATGGGCACCTTTAGAGTGAAAAGACATTCCTATCTTTGACATTAACAGGATATCCAATTGGATATTGAACATTCAGAATAAGAGATATAACATAACTGGCTTCTGCCATCTCCATACAACATAACCGTTCAGTACACCAAAGCTTAACATAACATAAGCTTGACATAAGGATAAAAATCTTTATTTTAGCAATAGGACTGTAATTGCCAAATCTCATTTGAGTCAGCTAAAAATAACTGTCACAAAGTAAAGATCCTTATATTGGTGTTTGAACTTGGACTGTGGATTGTGCCTTATGCTTGCTACTACCTTGTTTTAGCCAGACAACCCTCCTCTGTGAGCCTCACCGCTTTAGTTTAACCTTGTTACTGGAGCTGCACTTCCCTTCTCTTCTAGGCTAAACCCCACTTGGCTGCACCCTGTCCAATAACAGCACTCTGAATGTCAACTGAGGCACTCTTATTGGACAGGGAGATGTTAACTGGCATGGTTTAGCCTCGAATTCGGACCCCAAGTAACCAGACACAAAGACTAGCAGAGGTCTTATGGTGTTTACTCTAAAGCAGAGATTTCACTTATAAATATTGAAAATGGCTGAGAGAGTCACTTTAAGAAGCTGATATCCAGATTTGAAAATGGCTATGTGATTTTTTGTATGACAAGTATTACCTGTTCTTTAAGTACCAAAATATTGTAGCACAACCAAAGCCTGATGCCACGCTGAGGTGGGACTGCGGCGGAGGTAATGAAGCCAGGAATTCTGTACTACATCGTCCGTCCTCCCAAGTAATGAGACGGCTGACTTCTCTGGGTTCAAAGAATCGCAGGTTTTCACTGTTAATCCAGTGACATCCTTATAGAATGTAAACAAGAGGATTTCAGCTCACAGGTTAACTCAGCATCAATGACAAGCAGAAGGTAAGTAAGGTAAAAGAAGAGTTTCAGTCTATAGGATTTACACTTTTTCTTATGGAAAAAAAAAAAAAAAAAAATATATATATATATAACATTTACATTTAAATGTCAAAAACTACACATTATTAGTGCTAGTTTGTTAGTCAGGGGAGAATTCCTAATGCAAGTTTGTCGCTGTGGTGACTCCAGGGTGTCAGTGCAGCCTGATCTAAAACTTTCCTCTTCTGAAACTCCTGCCTTGTCTACTCTGCAGGATTGAAATGGAGGGCATTCCAGGGATTCTCATAGCTCTGAACTAGCTCAGGCAGATGTGGTACTCTGTCCTGAAGAAACTTCTGGCAGACATACCATTGGCTCTTCCAGATCGACCGAATCTCCTATCTTAAGGACATCTCTACCTTTCGGCTGCTCGCACCCACCTGCACAGCCATCGTGAGACCTGGCACAGCCCTAGTGGGAACCCACACCCACCCGCACAGGCCTGGTCAGACCCACGCACAGCCCTGGTGAGCAACACAGAGTATGTAGCTTCATATTATTCTGCATTGCTGTATAATGTGTTGCTGGGATTTGTAGTCCTCTATAGCTGGTGGTATTCTGCATTACTATATAATGTATTGCTGAGATTTGTAGTCCCTCTACAGCTTGGAGTCAGTGGCAGAACTACCAGGGTCCTAAAATCATCTGTCTGTATTGTTTTAAGAAAACTGTCACATGGCACTAAAAAAGGAAGCATTGGTAATTGGTATCAGCGAGTACAACTATGAGGTGAGTGCTTTTCACTCACCTCATAGTTCTAGCCGACCTGTGACAATGAGACTGTCACAGGTCGGCTCAGTAGATCGGGAGGTGAGCGAACACATACCGGGTTCGCTCACCTCTCGATCCTGTCACGGCTCTCTGCCGTGACAGGGGGAGGGGCTGGATTCCCCTCTCCCCGCTCCGATCTCCCAGCGCTGACTGGCGGAACGGACGGGGGAGGGGGCGGGTACAGCTGGCTCTGCCTCTAGATAGGCAGAGCCAGCTGTCACTCACGCAGCTGGGCGGATCCCGTCATCTACAACGGGATCCGCTCAGGCTGCGGCGTCTCAGTATACCGCGAGCTGTAGCTCGCGGTATACTGAGCTTAGGGTAACGGGAGGACGCTAGTTTGTGTCCTCCCGTTACCCTAAGGAGAACTATGGGGAAAAACACTGACCCCATAGTTCTCCTTTAAGGAAGTATCGGTACTCGGGCTGGAAAAAATGGTATCGGTGCATCCCTAAAATTCACCTTACTTTAGAAAGATTTTCTTTCACTTCCTGTTTCATTTCCAGGGCATAAAGTAAAATCTTCCCAACAGGACACAGACCGCATAAAATAGACAGGGGTTTTACTCTATCCAAAGTAAAAAAAAAATGTTTTGGCTTTACTTTTAATATATTTAATCCTCCCTTTTAGATTGTAAGCCCTCACGGGCAGGGCACTCCTTACCATCTTTGAGTGTATGATATTTCATACACAGCCCCAACTTATTCAGTGTTCTGGGTATAATGATTAAATCTATAACTGAAAAGACAAATTCACACAGAAATTGGTTTGTGTCTAGCTGATGTTATCTACACTTGTTCCACCTGGATACTACACCTTGGCTTGACTTCCAGAAGACGACTCCGTGCATTTGTCCAGACACTCCTATCCGGGACATCTTCTGCAGTCGTTCCCTGGGCAGGGCACCCAAACAATCATTTAGGGCTCTTATTATCTGGCAGACATCTTGTTCCTTCCCCTGGAACAGATCATAAGTGAAGTTATACCATCATGGTAACTATATTTTTTTCATCACTTGCACTCTTACATCTGTACAAGATTGCCATCAATCACTGTACTTTAAAACACGTGCACAAGGAGGATTCACCTGCAGTTAATGTTTGGTGAAGGTAACATTCACTGCTTTATAAATATACCCTTTTGTTTCACCACAAAATATAAAGCTTTGGGAACCATGTAAGAAGCAGTATTTATCACACATTTAGGGCTTGTTCACACCACATCCAAGGCGTTCCAGCACGGTTAGTGCATGCACTATTTTTTGCGGCGTGAGATATAGCTGCAGTGCTATTAACATGAATGGCACCACCACACCCCCTCCCGCCCCAGAACGCAGTGAGGCTTAATTATGCGACCCAGTGCATTCCGGTCACTAACTGTGCAGGAATGCACTGGATGTGGTGTGAACACGCCCTTCAATTCACTTCTGTGTGCTCTATAAATGTAGTATTAGCTTCGCTTACTTTGGGACTCCAACGCAAGTCATGCCCCTATTCACGCTAATTAAAGTAGAACTGAAGCCAAAACTTTTTTACGTTTTGGATACAGTATGGGAGGGAAATAACACGTCAGCATTTGGAAACTTCCCTTCACTTTCTTTTCAATTTCTACAACAGGAAATCCCTTCAAAGTGAGGGATATTCCTGTGGTCAGCAAGGTCACTAGAAATAACGCCCCCATTAGAAGACTTCCCATGTATTCCTGTACCGGTGACCACCCAAAACTTTGGATTTTCTTTCTCTTTCAGTGATACCGGTCACCAGGACTAATGGTGACAAACAGGGCACAGGCAGCAATAATAACCTGACAGGTGTTCTAATCCCTCTCCACTAACTGAAGTGTTGGCTTCAGTTGTACTTTAAATAGAACGAAGTGTGCCAGGAGGATAAGGAAACCTGTCACATGACCTGAAACAGCTCTGGTGACCGTGCGCCCCTGTGCTTTGCAGCGTTATGCGGAGAACACCCTGCAGGACATTGCTGGCTCTACACGGCTAGCTCTTTTATCAAATGATTCATCCTTCTTTACATGTACACAGAACTGGGTCTCCCTGTACTGACTGTTACACATGTGGCAGTCTGAACTTTATCACATATTAGGAGAAGCGTTGTGTACCGGGGATGCTAATGATCCCAAAGTTCACAAACATTAGGTGACCCTGCTCTCTGTTGTCCTTCACTGGGCAGTTACAATGAAGCTGGCCATACACATTACAATCTCTGTAAAATCTGCTTTGGATTTACCATCAACTAGGCCCTGCAATAACATAAGCTCAAGTCAATCATAAATGAAAGAAGAACTCTGGGTAAAGAAACAACATACCCTTGGAGTAGGGTTAGCCCCGCACACTACAAGTGCTCATTTTGTCCAGGGGGGTTCATATAAAGCAGACATACTCAACTGATCCCGGCTCCCACAGCAGTTGGCACTCACCTCTCCCCTCCCTCCGGCATGTCCCTCAGCATCCTCACATCCAATGCAAGTTAATGGACCTGCATAAAACATGATGATGTCAGCGTTCCTTATACCACGAGAACCCAAGGGAGAAGAGGCTGCGGGATCAGTCTAGCAGCCCGGAGGGATGACCAAAAATCAGGTAAGTAAACCTGCTTTACTTTAGTCCCCTAGACAAAACGAACACTTGCCCCTTGCAGTGCGGAGGTAGACACACCCCAAGAAACGTTTTTTGTTTGCCCGGAGTAATTCTTTAATCAGGTAAACCCTCATACTGCTTAGTTAATGGTCACTCTAAAGGTGATTTTAAAGAAGTCTGGGTGAATTTTTTATTAACCCTTGCAGGGGGGCTAACCCAGGACATCAAGGGTTAACCATGTGTGGATGGAGGAATCTCCCACTGGGCCAAGCTTCAGTATCTGGCTAGTCGGCCCCGCTGGCTCTCAAAACACCTGAACAATGCCTGCATCCAATCAGATTGTTCAGGTATTTTGGGAGCCAGCGGGGCAGACTAACAAGATACTGAAGCTCGGCCCAGGTGGAGATTCCTCCATCCACACAGTTAAGTGTAGGTGGAGGAATCTGTTCCACCTTTTCCATCTGACCCCAGAAAATCTGCAGATAATTGTAAGGTGTATGGGCACCTTTAGGATCCACAAGCCGTCATGTTCTATACACAGTGTATTGGACATGAGGACACCAGTGGAGTAGACGACAGGCTGGAGGGAGCACTGTAACAGCCTGCCGGCTCTGAGCTTTGAGTATAACTTTTTTATTCTAGTCCTAACCCTTCCAGTGCCAACTCTGCTCCTCAATTGACACAGTACAGTAAGTGAGCGTTGTCACACTAGGACAGGAAGTGTGTTACCGGAAGGATCACCAGGTAAAAATAAGGCCTGAAAAATAGAAAACAAATGCAGCCGCCACATCTAAGGATTGGTCAGCTGTAATATATTAGATCTTTGTTCTTGGGTTTAGATACACTTTACACATTAGGATAGAAATCCATATAAAACTATAATAGACACGGCAAGATGCTGTAGAACTACAAGTCCCAGCAAACCTACGATCAGTCTCACCTGAGCCCCACACTCGCTCTGCAGCCCTGCCCTGGTGTCTGTGCTCTGACTCCAGAGCACATCGCCACTCCTGGGCTCCAGCAGCACGGCCTTCACAGAGCTAGTGCCCACATCAATGCCCAGAACCAGAGACCGACCTTCCAGCTCCATCTCTGTAATCTGCATGTGACTATGTCATGTGAATGGGAGGAGTCTGACCCGAACCGCCCACTGTTGCCATAACGACGAGATATGTTACGCTAATCAATTGTCTCCGTTTTCGGAGCCATTTTTGGGAAGTTTGCTAATAGAGTTGTAATAATTTGGTCTTCGAAAAAATGGCCCCTGTACTAGGACAGGGAACCATAATCAGGACTATATTTTGTAGCGGTACACCTTCCCAGTATACGAGGTAAACAAGGAAGAGGGCGGAGAGTGTCAGATCAGTGGGTTGTATGGAGTGTCTCGGCTGGTAGAAGGAGAGGAGAGGACTGGGGTTCAGGGACAGGTGAGTGTGTGGGCAGCACTTTACAATGGAGGATAATAGACACGGACATGTCAGGTCACCCTGTGTATCAATCTCCGGGCATCTGGTAGGTGAATGGCGGGGGTGTGCACTGGGATGATGGAGTGCTGACCTGTCACTGTCTCCTCCAATACCCATAGAGCAGAGGTCTGATATAGAGAACATGATGTAATATGGCATCCCCAGCATCGGTATAGATGTACAAACTCACTATTCCTTATCTCCAAAACTGACTGGGTCTGTTTAACCCCATTGTGACCACAAGACAACGTTATAAGTTCAAAGGTAAAATAACCTGTGTGTGAGAATGTTAATGGACTACTTGTGGACCAGTCTGTGCACACCCCTTCATTGCCAGGACATTGTTCACTGCTGTGATAGTTACATAGCAGATATGGTTAGATAAGAGACGCAGATACATCCAGACCACGCAGGTTACGGCAAAGCGTATCTAAACCCAAAAGCAAAAATGGAATATATTGCAGATGACAAATTCTTAAATGCTGCATTAGTTTTCTGCATGAAGCGTGTTTCCTTTATCTCCACCTGGTAATGCAGCCAGCAAGTCTGATATTTTTTTTTAAGTTCATTTACCGGACCAAGCTGTCCAACAAAAGTGTCAGATGGTTGTTGAGGCAAACCATATAAAACTGACAGGAGTGCTTACAATGGCCAGCTTTTATTTATTTCTATAAAACTTTTATCCCAAAACAAAACTTGCTGTAAAAGTCTAAAAAGTATTAGGTGGAGTTCAGATTAAATCTGTAAGTCAAGTCGGTTTAAATCTTCTAGTACATCTAACACCACGCTCTCCACAGGGTGACCGTGCTGCTGTCCAAGGGTCATTGATTTCTTGGGTTACATCCACACGGCAATCACAGAAAAAAAGGTAAGGTACATGTACCTTTTGTTGCGGCAGACGACGTGCCACAATCATTTTCGATTGCACAGGCGGAATTGCGGTCGGGAAGCCACGCGATCTGCCCGGCTGGTGTGCCATTAGGAAATAATGGCACCACCAGCACAATCAGCAGTGGCAGGCGACTCCGTGACGATTGCCGCGTGGGGTGCCGCTATGGTAGGTTTTAGGTGAGCGATAAAAACATGGATCAGTCATCTGTTACCACCTTTTGGCTGCCCTTGTGAACGAGGCCTAAGGGTATAAACATACCTGTTGTGCTTATCAAGGAAGACATCTAGAGGGTTTCTGAATTTGTCATTGTTTCCCGCTCTTACAGGAGGGAGTTCCACGTTTTTGCTGCTTTGAGAGTAAGGACCACTCTCTGGTATTCTAGATTAAACCTTTTTTCTAACTTAAATGTGTGCCCCCGTCTCCTCTTTGGGGATCTAAAATGAATCAGGCTATTACCAATTAGTCATTGATTAACTTGTAGATAGCTATCATAATTTGTAGAGAGCAATTACAATGCCGCACTGTACCCAAGTGAATTTGATATCATTTTATGAGACAAATAGAGCTTTCTGTTGGTGGTGGAGGTTTTCTTTTCTTATCATATAAAGAAATAAAGACCAACAATTTAGAAAAAAAAACTGTTTCCTTACTTCCTGCTATGAAACACAGCAGATAAAATGCCAGGACAGTTAGAACACCCCGGAGCCTTTTTGGAAAGTAGCCCCCCTGGCCCTCCCCCCCCCCTCTCCCCCAGAATGGAAGAACTCACTCAACACATTCATAAGAAAAAGATAACATATTCCCTCAATGCTTCATGGAATGGTGTAATGCCTGGGGATTTTATCTGCTCCCCATAGGGTGGGTAGTACAACCTACATATTGTAGTAAGCATGTCATACAGGAAATAACATAAACCACATTGTTGTGCCACAATTGATATATTGTTTATTAGGGAATGTTTCCCCAGACATCAAAGAACAAGTCTAATGGGTTTGTCATACATGTCACAACACCAATGGGTGCCAACACCTCACCTAAAGGAGCCTTTGGTAGTAAGCCAAAGAGGAGGTCCTTTCTCAATAGGATCCTCAACATCCCTAGTAGAAAGCATGGATCCAAGAGTGGGAATTAGTTATTTTGAGGATCCTACTGAGAAAAGACCCTATGTTTGGCTTACTACCAAATACTCGGTTTTATGACTCCTTTAGGTTGAAACCCATAAGCCAGCAGTGGACGAATCCTAGGAGTCAGGTAGCCAATGTTCCTTAAAAATTACAGCTGACGACTAACTTTTGAGGTTTTCTTAAATTGTTGTCAGTACGGCAGCAGGCTCTTACAAAATATCCTGCTGGCTCCTGGATTGGACAGACTGGCTCCTGAATTCCCCTGCCATAAGCTGTGCTCGTTTCTATGGATCCCAGAAATGTGTGCCGGCTTCTTGTGCTTTCTATTGGACTGTCTTTGGTTCAGTGGTGCGTGGACTGTCTATGTCCACGCACCACCGGAGTATTCTGGGCTTTACCTGTGGTGTGTAGCGGTAACCTTTTTCAACACGGGCCCTTTTTTATCATATAAATTTTTATTGGTTTCATCACATAAGACAATCGACAGTACAGAACATCACAGTATTCGGTGCGCAGACCGTAGCATCGACAAGAGAGCTTGTGTTAGCAGATGTTAATCATGGGTTATAGATCTGATAATGGGTGATTATAGATCGAACTCTATTGCTTCGACCGGATAGCTAATGTGGGTACACAGTGGACCATGAGAAAAATGAGAACATACATATTCCATATATATACTGCATTTGTTCATATGGTATGGCAACCTGGTGAGATATCAGATAGATGGAAGAGTCAGCCAGTATGTTCTCTCTGAGGAATGCAGAGCAGGAGATGCTCGGGTCTCACTTCCAGATAGCCGCGGGAGACACGGGCCCTTTTTTAAAACTATTATATGAGGCAGGAGCACCTGATGTAAAGAGCCTTGCTTTTTAGAGCAAGATCCAGTATATATAAGCTTGCTTGGTTATAATAATTAAAGGTGGATCTCTGTGATTAAGGCCCCTAGACTCATTAATTAGTGACAGCCTAGTGCTCCCAGCATTTACAGAGACTTGAAAACAGCAGCTTTGTGCTGTCAGAATAAATGATATCTTATCATGAGGCATATTGCTGCTGATAATGAAATATGGACATATAATGCATGTACTTGAGTTTTTGGAAACATATGCTTCTTCTTGAATAATTCAGAATATCATTTTGTTCCGCAGGGAGTTTTGTAATGTACAGCTCAGCACAAAGATAAATGCTTCTCAGATAAAGTTACAGGCAGGAAATCGGTGACACACACACATCAAACCACAGACTTCTCAGTGTCAGTAAAAGAAATGGTGCCGTATTTCAGTTTATTCACTTGCAGTTGTAGAATAAAATGTTTTAAATCATACTCATAGATTACACATGAACCTTAACTATATTACATATAGTTAACTAAGACACGGTATATCATAGATAGTTGCCTTTTTTTAATTAAAAGAGAACTATGGGGCAACCTTTTTTCCCCATAATTCTCTTTAGGGTCATGGGATGGACATATACTAATGTCTTCCTGTGACCCAAAACTCAGTATATACTGAGAGCGCCACAGGGGGTGGATCCCAACAATACTTTTCGAGATCCACCCCGGTGGCTATCTAGAGGCTGAGCCAGCTATGCCCGCCCCCTTTGTCCATCCGTCCCCCCATTCAGCACTGGATTATCGGGGAGGGGAGGGGGGGGTCACCGCCCTCTTCAGGGCGATGCTCCGGAAGTGAGCAAGCGGCGGTATGTTTTCACTCACTTCCCGATCGATAGAGCCGACAGGCTGGTAGGGAGTGCTGTTGCCTCTGAAGAACGGGTGAGTATAACTTTTTTGTTTTTTTACCCTAGGCCTAGCCACTTTATTAACATGTCAAATTCTTCACCAGGCAGGATACCCAGGTCACTAATTGCAATATCTTAAAGATATACTTCCACCCTCTGAAGTTCCCAGGCCACCCATCAAAGTTTGTTAATCCAGTGCTTGTAAGTTGACAGCGTACAACGTATCTGATAAAGTCTGACGTTTCCGAGCCAGTGGGCATAGGGTAGTATAGAGAAGCAAAGGAATTCAAACTAGTGTCAGGTTGGCAGTTCAGTGCTATGGCAGGATGAGACTAGAGTAATGTTGCTGTTAGAAGGTAACTGCTTACCTGATGGGGTAGAGCTGATTTGGCTTGAGTGCTAACACCTAAATTGAGAGCCTTTCTCTCTCTCTCTCTGTGATCTGTGACTCAGAAGTTCATGAGACTTCAGCTTGAACAACAGGTCTGTCATGTGCAATCACAGCATTTTCAAGAGGAAAGAATGCCAGTGTCATCAAGAGCTTCACACGTAACTGAGGCCAGGTTCACACCTGCGCAATCTGCGACCGAGCGGCAATCGTGCACAATATAGTGCGGATTGCCATGCGGTCACAAAGTCGCCCACCGCCTCCGATCGCGCTCGCGGTGCCATTATTTTCTAATGGCACCCCAGTCGCGCCGGGTGCACCGTGCAGTTTCCCGCCACGATTCCGCCCATGCAATCAAACACAACCTCGTCGTCGTGTGTCACAAAAAAAGGTACATGTAGCTTTTTTCTGCGATTGCTGTGCGGATGTAACCACATTGAAATCACTGGGGCCGCGTAGCAACCGCTGTGTGCAACTGCCCGCGATCACGTGGTCCCGGATCGCCTAGTTCTGCAGCAGCCCTCAGAATCTGCTTCTTTGGCTTAAGGCATGCTCCTTAGTGCACTTTATGGGGTTCACTGTGTTTACAAGACTGACCCTATCCAATTCACTCACAGTGGTGACTTGTTCTAAAAATCTTAGCTGCTGCTTCTTTCCTTTCTTTCTGAAAGAGCAATTCAGGTTCATTTCATTGTGATATTTAGTCATCTATTTGGCCTCTAAGTGTGTGTTTCCTGATTTAGGAGTGGTAAAGCTATTTAGTTCTTGAACAGACTGTATTAATAGTTGATGGAAGAGAAGAATATTTTTTCCGACAGCCTAATATAGCTTTCATGGGTCCTTTTCAGCTTTGCAAGTACACCATTTATTTGTTCTGCATCATTACAGGTTTCATCAGCAGCGGTTGTACATGCACAGTCTTAAGCTACATATCATGTAAATTATCATATGTTTGTTTCATAACTTTCTAAGCTTCAAGGAGGGCTTAAAAGAGAACTATGGGGTAACCTTTTTTATACCATAGTTCTCTTTAAGGTCACAGGGGGACATATACTAGAGCCCATGACCCAAAGCTCAGTATATCGCGGGCTATTGCTCGCTGTATACTGAGAGCGCCACAGCCGGGGTGGATCCCGACAATACTGTCAAGATCCACCCAGCTGGCTTATTGACATCGGGCTCTGCCTATCTAGAGGCAGAGCCAGCTGTGCCTGCCTCCTCCTGTGTCCGTTCCTCCTCTCAGCGCTGGAGGATCGGAGAGGGGAGGAGGGAATCCCTGCGGGGAGCAGTGATTGACAGTCACCGCTCTCTCCAGGGAGATGATCGAGAAGTGAGCGAGCGACAGTATGTGTTCACTCACTTCCCGATCAATTGAGCCGACGTGTTTCAATGTTGCACGTCGACTCTAAATATGGGGATGAGTGTAGATCACTTACCTCTTAGTTCTCCTTTAACTGTACGTTTGGGTCTAGCAGATATCTTTTCCTGTTGCAAATAAGCTTCCTCTTGGGGAAGAAAAATTTGCTAACTGTGTTATTATAGTGAATGTATAAAGAGTTATGGACATAACTCTTTATACTTTGCCTGGATGGTGGCCATCCGTCGACTACTGATGCACCCAACCCATTCATCAAGGATTTAGCGGTAAGGAGTGCAATGGGTACACTGACTATTATAGTGAATGTGTCACAGATCAGCTGCAGAGCTAATGCTCAATACATCTAGTAAGTGCTAATAATGCAGCAGACCGTAATCTGACCATCAATTGCTAAAGGAAGTTTTGTTGCAGCCATGTGCTCACTCAGAGCATTGCAGATATACTATGTTCTCCCTGAGACACAGGAAACCTTGCAGATACCAGACTTTAAAGGTTTTGAGAAATCTGTCTTTTCACTGTTCTGTTTCAAATGCCCCTTGAAATACCTCCATAGATTTTATTCTGTTCGGACAGAATGGACACCTGCTGATTCAGCACAATCCACAGGCAGCTTAACTCTCCAATCAGACCCAGAAGTTTATTCCACAGAAGTTTTACTTCTCATAGTTTAGTACAGAGGATGTTTGTCCAGTCCTTTGAAGTGTGCAAATGCAATGATCTTCCCATCATGGAAAAAGGAAGGGTCTGTCTAAAGAATATACTAACTAGGATTAAACAGATGGAGCGAGGAACTTACCAAATGAACATCGTAACACATTATAGTGTCACTGAACTACACTAGATGTCAGTAGATCCCAAAACATAGAGAATATAATGCAATACAATGCAACAGCACAAAATACACAATAGTTGGGACACAACACTAGCTTTCCCTGTGTAATCACCAGAGCTCCATGACAGCTGGGTGCTATGCTTTGTTTATCAGGAGCACACAGAGCGGCTGCTGACATACAGCAGGTGGCTGTGTCACTGACAGTGGAGCAGACTGTCACTGGGTGCATAGGAAGAGCCTGACTGAGCAAGACGGAGTTGTCAGTATGGTGAGGAGATACCCAGGCAATGCTGAGTCAGGAGAGACTGCCTCAGCTGTGCCCAAGGTCATGTGTATTGCCTCATGATAATGCAGCATGGGGAAATGACTGGCTGGAAATGACTGGAAAGATGAAGGATACATGTTTTGGTTGCTGTAGGGTGACACAGACAGTTCTTTTAGTGGTCATTTTGATAAATGTAGAAAGAATACTTACTGACATATATTTGTTATGCAGGTCTGATGGTCTTCATGAACTATGGAAATGATCGGGAAAACGAAGTGCGCCATATTAACACTCTTCATACTCCAGTTTATAGCACTTTGTGGTAAGTTTTAAAGTGGACCTTAAAGTGATATTAAAGTCAAAAGGATTTTAAGCCATTCCAAATGCTGATGAAATCATCTATAATAGATGCTGCTTCTTCATGTTTAAAAGTTTTAGTTTCCTGCGGAATCAGCTGGTCCCCCGAGGCACTGGCCCTGGTATCCTGTTTCAGAGTGACTCCTTTCTCAAGCAGAGTGCTATGCAGTCACCCTTGTGTGTGCTAGTAAGCTGTGTGTGTCCACTAAAGCCCGGGACACACTGCACGCAAAGCCGTGCAGAGCGAAGCAAAGCTGTCTGGCACGGAGCTTTGCGTGCAGTGTGTGAGCTGAGTGCAGGCAGATGATTGGCTGCACCTTCAGCCAATCGGCTCGTGCGTAACAACCAGCCAGACATCACATCCTGACGTGCGGGTTTATACGCATGAGCCGATTGGCTTAAGATTAAATTTTTCATCTCGGCACGCTTAGCTACGCGAGCTCTCGCAAGCTGACGCGCCGAGGAGACAATTACATGACACACTGCTCAAAGGCAGCGTACCACCGCTCCGTGCTGCTTCGCGTGCAGTGTGTCACAGCCTTAACACTCAGACACAGCAAATCAATATATTCCCCTCCCCCCCTGGCCCCTTCTCCTTCCTTCTCCCTTCTCCAAGCTTGTAGATGAACAGTTGCAAGAGTCTGCTCTGTCCCTTGTGATCTTGTACTGGACAGGAAGTTCATGGAAGCTGAGTTGAGAGACTTGGAAGCAGCTGTTCTGGAACACGATGATTGTAAGTGGTTGGGCAGAAATGTAAGGCAATATTTTGCTGAGCAATGTATATTTGTTTGATCTGGATTCATTATTGAAAAAAAAAATTGAGTGTTTAATACTACTTCAAGCCAGATCGCCCCCTACCCTGACTGCTTCCCTTAAAGAGGAACTAGAACCACCAATTTAATGGTCTCCAAAAACAGTTACTTTTGATGCCGACTGTCCAGGTTGCCAGTGTGCTTATTTCAACTTTCAATCATACTTTCAAGCCCTCAAATAGTTGGTGTTATAGCTGATCACAAGTGCAGCACCATGGCAACTGCAATCCAAATGGAGGCTAAGATGGCACCTTCCTTGGCTGTAAGGGATAGGAGGGTGCAGTTCTGCTTTAAATCAGAAAAGGTAAAAGAATGCACAAAATAGTTACTTTAGCTATAGAACAACTGCCTTGGATCTTACACTGGCTAGTCAGGTGACCCAATGCCGAGGCATCTGTAACATCATCTCTGCTGTAGTGGAGTATAGCAGTTCAGGCAGAGCTGCAGACTAGCTAACCCTTCCCTTCAGAGGCTTTGCCTGTATTCTGGTCCTGCTCCTCTCCTAGAACTGAAATCAGACAACCACTGCCATAGTCACGTTATAAACCTCCATGGGAATCCGCAGTGGCAGATATTTTATATACTCTGCTACTTTTGTGAGTTAAAGGTGTTCTGGTGGGCAGGGTAGGAATGGGCATTGTTGCTTTGATCTGGCAGTATCTGTACCTTACATAATCTTCCTGTCCCATCGCACTCCTGACCGGACAGAAACCCAAATCCAACTGGGTGGGTGCAGTGGTGACAACGGATGCCTCCGTTGTCACCACACATCTCCTTAGCGACGTTTTGAGACCATGCGGCCCCGGCCTCAGGCAAACTCTGTTTGGTCTCGCATGGTCTCGAAACGTCGCTAAGGAGATGTGTGTTATCTCAGTCAATAAACAGCATTGACTTTAATATCATGGAGTGCGAGTGACTACTTTCATCTATCTGTACCTTACATGTCTCGTGTTACCATGAAATACATCTTCAGTATAACGGGTGATGTTAAATTGCAGGTGCTGAAACTGTACTGTCTGCCGTGTGGAACAATCCTGCATTCGGAGTCTCCATTCCAGATGTCGTTACCTTGGAAAATGGCAGAGCAAAAAATTTAACCATTACTGTAAAGTAGGTGGTTCTCTTATGTTCTATTATTTCAAAGCAGTTGCTGTGAGTTCTAATTCCAGGGTAATTTGGGGCCTCATTAGTGCCTTTTTTAAAAGAACTTCGGCCAAAAACAAATGTACCCCTTGCAGTGGGGCTACCCCTGCACTGCAAGAGTTAGCTGCTTGTTTTGGTCTATGGTGTAAAATAAAAAATATATACACACATTATCCACGGGCCCGCCTAGCTGCTATACTGGTCCCCCACAGCCTTTCTCCCCCTCCACTCTGGCGGTCTAATGACCCATGAGTCATCACATCTAAAACAGTGTATTAAACATAAGGATGCCGACATTCCACCACCAGAGCAGCACAAATGTTATGAATAGGATGGGCTACGGTGTGTGTAGCGAAGTATAATGGAGAGCAGATAGCGATATATCCTCTCCCTATTTCAAGTAAGCCCTTTCTAAATTGCAAACCTTTATACTCATCTCAAAAAATATTAAAATTCTGTATGTGGTTATTTAAAAATCCATGTATGTGATATGCAAATCCTCTAAGGGCTAGCACTAGTAGGCATGATTGGTTTGCACTGCTCTAGCATTATATAGGTGTCGCAGATATAAGGGCTTTAAATAGTAAGTGTATCCATGGCTATCCACTAGTATGTATGATTTGTTCCCACAGCTCCACCATTGTACAGGTGCAGCAGGTGTAAGTGCTTTGACTAGTAAGTCTATCCTTGGCTATCCATGGAATGTGGAAGCAGATGAGTTATTATTTGTAATCCCTTTCTTGTATTACAAAATGAAGGGACTCAATGTGCTAGAAATAAATAGGAATTATTTTAGGCCATGTTCTCATGTTCATGCGTAGCAGAGAGAATTCGATTGCTTGGTCATATCTTTGTGTGTGTCCTCTGCAGACCACTGAATGAGACTGCTGTGTTTACTTTCAACATTACCTACTCTTCTAAGAACAGAACCATTGTCCGCCTTCCTGATGAAGTAAGTAATTCATACATACGTGCTACCCCTGTGTGAAAATTACCTGCGACTGAAAGGATAGCTACCATCAAACTTGAAAGCAACTTCAGGCACGTTTCCATAATATAGTGAAACAATAAATAGTTATCTTGTCACACTCCTTCCTGGAAAACCTCAATAGCGGGGGGGGGGAGTGCTCGTAGTGACAGCGGATGTTTGTGGAAGGATGTCACCAGCACACCAAATCAAATGAAAACCAAAGTGTTTGTTTATTGAAACGTCATCTCATCAGCACTAGCGCTTTTGGGATCGCGCAGGGTCCCCTTCATCAGGCTCAGCAATGACCTAAGTCCGATGAAGGGACCTGCGGCTCCCGAAAGTGCTAGTTATGGTGAGATGACGTTTCAATAAATGAGCACTTTGGTTTTCAATTTGATTTGGTGTGCTGGTGACATCCTTCTACATCCATAATATAGTGAGCACAATGTATCTGGTATTGTTATTTTTACACCCATCTGCACCTCTCTGATTCCAGTCATCTGACAATGATGAAGCCAAATATTAGGTTCATATTGCACTGCGCTATTAGGAAATTGAATTCAATTCTTACACATCCTATCAAATTATTGCATATATTGTATAGGGCAGTGCAATGTGAGTTTTTGATTATCAGTACATTTAGTGATTGGCACAGCAGCTTATATTGCAAGTGTTATAAATGTTACGAGATTTCATGAAAGGAAAAGCAGTGGGCCAGCACAGAGAGCTGGGAAAAGAAGTCAGCCATCGACAATGTTTTTTTTAAATATGGCAGTGTGGAATTGGTAGCGCAGGCAGGATGGAACGATGGGAATGTGGCAGCATATTACAGAAGGAATCCTGTTGATATACAGTACTGTGCAAAAGTTTTAGGCAGGGGTGAAAAAATGGTGTGAAGTAAGAATGATTTCAGAAATAAAGATGTTAATTGTTTATTTTTTTTCAATGAACAAAATGGAAAGTAAATGAACAGAAGAGAAATCCAAATCAAATCAATATATTTGGTGTGACCGCCCTTTGCCTTAAAAATGGCATCAATTCTTCTAGGTACACCTGCACATAGTTTTTAAAGAAACTAGGCAGGTAGGTTGCTCTCTAGAGCCAGAGCCAGCTGTGCTCGCCCCCTCCCCTGTCTGTTCCTTCTATGAGTGCTGGAGGAACAGAGAGAGGGGAGGGGGAATCTCTGCTAGGAGCGGTGACTGACAGAAGACTGTGAGCTGAGCAATCAGCTGCAGTGACACATGCCAGCTCTAAGTATTGGTAACAGTATATTTTGCAAAAATCCCAATACGTCTCCTTTAAGATGGCCATACACTATTACCGTAGATTTTTTTGTCAAAAGAAATGAACAGATTCCTCCGTCCACACTTCAGCAAAAGTAATTTGAGTGATTGGCTTTTGTTGAGCCAGCAGGGGCCGCACACTCAAAGGATTTTTGCCAATTCCTCTGAATTACTGTATGGCCAGCCTTACAGGCAAAGCTGCTTGCATGCTAGATAAAGTGAATTAAAGAACAACTCCAGGAATTTTTTTATCAACCCGTGCAGTTGGGCTAGTCTGTCCTTGATGCACTGTGCAATGCCTGTGGGCTGGTAACTGCAGCTTGCTGAGTGGGGAAAGTAGTTATTCGGTGCTCTATCATAGAGGAGTGATGGCTGGAGGGATAACTGTGAAGGAGTGAAGGGCTTGTCCTGAATGTCCTGGCAGAGCGGCAGCTGGAAGGTGGTGGTTATCGAATAGATTGCTTCCTTCTGGGATTGTGGTGCTGTGGCGGGGGGGGTTCCCGGATTTTCTGAGTGCAGTTGTAGTATAGACTAGGCGTGCTGTATACTGCCTGTGGGATGGTGGCTGTAGTTTTCTAGGTGAGGTAAGCAGTTCTCTGATGGTCTTTCTAGACTGAATGGCAGCCGAAGGGATTGCTGTGGAGAAGTTGGAGGCTTGTCCTGAACAGAGAGCTTGGCCCACCTGACTGCTGATCTGTCCGGCCAGCTTGGCCCACCACTTCCACCGCTATAATGTATGCCGGCTCTTGCTCTCCTCAGTACCTTCCAACCGCCGCTCTGCCAAGCTGTTTAGAAAACAAGCCTCCAATTACTCCACGGCAATCACTTCAGCTGCCATTCAGTCTAGAATTTTACAGTTTTCCCTCCAGCCATCACTCCGTCAAGATAGACTACCGGATAACTACTCTCCCCACTCAGGAGGCTGCAGTTACCAGCCCACAGCCATTACACGTTCATCAAAGACAGACTGCAAAGACAGACTGACAGACTGAAAGACGTATATGAATGAGTGAAATAAAAATGCACTAACGTGATTCCGAAATGATATATGCCTTCAGGAATTATGGTGGTGTGGTGGACCTGCTGGGTGCTGTGGTAGCCCACAGCACCCAGCAGGTCCACCACACACACCATAATTCCTGAAGTCATATATCATTTCGGAATCACGTTAGTGCATTTTTATTTCACTCATTCATATACGCTTACAGTGTCACACGATCAGGGCTCTAGTTGCTTCCTTTGCTTACACTTCTCCAGGGCGGCTGCCTCTACACGATCGACCACAAACATTGACTTACAATCCGATTTAAGAAGGTCAAACAATTACCGAGTCCGTTCATGAGCTTAAAGTCATGTGCATGCAATACACTACTCACTGATTACACTTTCTCCCAACCACCAGTGATTGCGCTACGTTGTGGCGCTCTTTTATTTTCTTGGTTATTTTTGTCCCTAAACACAAAGGAGCACTTAACCTTTGCAGTGTGGGGGTAGCCCCACAACAAGGGTTAATAAAACATTTTCCTGGAGATCTTCTCTAAAATGAATAGATTGACCACTGGGATAAAGCTAGATGATATGTATTCACGTGCCATAGAAAGCTCAGACTGTAAAGCTGGCCATACACACTCTATTTTAGAGCTGATTCCTCCATCAAAGCTACGAGCACGTTGATCGAGGAATCGCTACTGTTTCTTTTGTTAGAATACCCAAACAGAGCCGGCAGCTCATTGGCTTCCTGCTCTTTTTTGTACAAAGATTTTCCTGACCGGCTCCTCCAATCAGCTGATCAAGGGATGCTGACTGAAAGAGTGCCGACAGCAGCACCCACTGTGCGAATTTCAAAATCGCACAATGTACGGCCACCTTAAAACGAACCAATCAGAAACTGATGACACGTTGCATATTCTTGGACAGCCCTATGCTAAAACAATTCACCTGTTTATATATGAGAAGGATATAAATAATGACATGTATAGAGGCAAGTAGAAAGCAATATATTGTCGTAAACTTTGAGTGTTGCTTATTTCAGCATAGGAAATCAGTGATATAATTCTAATGTCTGAACTTGTATGTACAGTCTATATTTCTGCTCTAAATAGAGATCTTGGTTAATATGTACTTCCTGTCACGTGATAGCCATCATGCAACCTCACTGACTGTTTGCTGGATTAGTTGCAGGCAAATATCAGCAGTTCTGCAAATACAAACCCACAAGGTCAAGAGGACCTGTAACTTCACTTTAACTAACATCACAATGTCCCTTTTATAGTACATTTGTTTTACAGATGTAAACATAGAATAAGTTACTGGGTAAGAAATGTGTTGTTTGATTCTATTTTCTGCCAATTTCAGATTGTCCTGTTGCCAGAGTCAAAGCAATCAGTTTTTACGGTGGCTGCAGAAGATGTGGGACAGGTCACGGCCTATTTGTACAGAAATAGCTCTCACACTGCTGGGTTTGTTCACAGTAATCCTTGCTGTTTGTGTTAGAGTTAAGACATGTGTACTGCTTCTAGTTCTGCTTTGGATGAGATAAGCCTGCATCGAAAAAAAACTAAAGCTGCCCAAACACTGTAATATTTTCTTCCTTCAGCCTGTGAGCTGAGCAAAGAAAATATAATAGATTCCTCCTACAACGCTTACGAGCATTAATCGAGGAATCTCCCGTTGTCTTCATTGTATTTTGATGGCGGCCACCGTCTACTGTCCAAATACCCAGAGTCAGCAGCTCATTGGCTGCCCTCTCTGTTTGTTCAAAGATTTTCCAATAGGGTCTTTCGATCAGCTGATCGAGGGATGCCGGCCAAAAGGGTGCCGACAGCATCTCACGAACACACAGTGTGGGAATTTCAGTCGGTTCATCAAGAACCAGCCAAAATTTGCACCGTGTATGGGCACCTTTAGTGATCAATGAATAAAGCAGTCAATACAGGGTGCAGATAACAGCTATTGGAAAGCTGACCCTGATGTATACTCTGTTAGAAATCGTTCATCAGCGCATTCCATCTTGTCATTACTGAGTCCACTAACTTTGTTCTAAAGCCCTTAACAATTTCTCCCAGAAATGCTACTTGAATGGAATCCTAGATGAATGGAATGGGTTTCTTTTGCGCCTAGCACATTCGCATTACATTTTTTTTGCAAATAATAAATCAGATTCATGGTTCAAATTTTTTTCGCTCAGATAAGAAACTGTTCCTTGGATTTTCCAATTCACCACAGTCAAAAACAAATGGTGATTACACCCCACTATTAGAAACTTGAACATAAATGAACGCAATAAAATTTTTTTAATGAAATTCTGCTGGTGTATGACCATCTTAAAGAAGGGGGTAACTTTATCTGATTCAGCCTAATCAACTGCTTAGGGGCCGAGGGCAAGGGTGGGGAGGTCTAGTCATGGACCTTTACCCCATATTACTCTTCTGCCTTCCCTGGCCTCTGTTATTATATTTCTCTAAGGCCTTGGAGTTATTTTTCCCACTCCTGCTCATCTGTGATGAAAGTATGTCCACCGAACAGGACAAGCAGAGAAAAGTCATGGGATTGTGTTTCTTTGTCAGAATGACTTGTCATACATCCATCAAAGAGGTGCTGATGAGAAGGGAGATCCAAGAATTTTATGGATAGACAACCTTAATGTATTCATGTAGAGTCATGTTCCCTATATTGTAATAAAAACCATAAGACTGAATGTTAGGGGAAACACTAAGGTTCCCTATGTTATTCATAAAATTACATTGTACTTCCCTTGCTGGTTAAAGTTCAAATAAGATTGATTGATTGGTTAAAGAAAACACTCCCTGACAGTCCTCTGATTGGTCTGCAGATGAATGAGAGTATTCACAATAGCCTAAAAATTGAGATGATTTAGTTTGGCTGGAGCACTGGGGAAGGTGAAAGTTTAAGATCACCAAAATCACCAAAGGGGCCGTTAATATGGAGATTTGGGGTAGTGCTACATATGAACTGTCTTTTTCCAGCACGTGGAAGATCTATCAGGGTTATTCACAAAAGGGTGAAGAGTTTGGAGAAGTCAGGAGAAGTGAACAAACTAGGACAAAATAGCTGATTTGTAAAAATTCTCTAATTCAGCTCACTTTCCAAATCAGCTATGTTGTCCTAGATTGTTCCCTTCTCCTGCCTTCTCCAAACTCTTCACCCCTTTGTGAATAACCCTGTATATGTTCAACAACAAAGGAGTAAAAATATAGTATTGAGTTCAAGATGTACTGAACCAAAACTGTTACAACCCAATCTCTCTGTTTGTAGGCCCAGAATCCGGTTCCTGGTGATCCACAGCCTCACTGTGGAGGTACTGGAGCAGATCATTGGCTGGATTTATTTCTTGGCCTGGTCTGTGTCCTTCTACCCTCAGGTGTTTGAGAATTGGAGGAGGAAAAGGTAATAAAAAAAAAAAAAAAAGTAAAACCTGAGTGTACACTACCTAACCTGCCAAACAACACGTTTCCAAAGGACATTATAAGATATTGCATTAACATCTATTATCTCCTTGGTATTACAGTGTTGTGGGCCTGAGCTTCGACTTCCTGGCATTAAATCTCACAGGCTTCATATCTTACAGTGTTTTCAATGTTGGACTCTTCTGGATTCCATACATCAGGGTATGTTATGGTATTTCTGTCATTCACAATATCTTGAATAGTCTATTGGAGTATTAACAAAGCTGTTTTAATATCTCTTCCAGGAACAATTTTTACAAGTCTACCCCAATGGCGTGATCCCGGTTGATGCCAATGATGTGTTTTTTAGTCTCCATGCAGTGCTGATAACTCTCGTTACTATTATTCAATGCTGCATTTATGAGGTGAGCACCTTTATTTTTTTAGCCATTGTTGTATCTAGTTTGTTGTCTTGCGATTTCAGTGCCAAATGGCTGCCATGTAATTTAAGCAACAGTTACATGTATTTGAGACTTGGTAATGGTATTAAACTTTTCCCCTGGTATGGCAGGGATGGTGCTGATCCCATGTTGTATGATGAATTTCTCCTATTCAACTGTCTGTAAACTTTGCTCAGCATAATGTAATAGAGGAGGTGGAGACAGACACTATAGTTATATGAGTCACAGGAGCTGGACTGAATTTGAGCATCTCCCTAAACCAATAGCAATAAACTGTGATATTTAGTAACGTTATCAGTTCCTTTTATAAAGCATAGAGCAGAAATGTAATATATTGCAGCTTAGCAGTCCCCAGATGTGGTGGCTGCATTAGTTTTCATTGTCAGTTTTTATTTGTTTTATTTTCACCTGGTGATCCTGCCAATAACAAGCATCCTGTCCTAAAGTGACAACGCTCACTCAAAGTACTGTATCTATGGATAAGCAGTTGTCTACTGCCAAGCGATATCAGAAAATAAGTTATGATGCATTCACAAGCATTTATTAAATGGCAAAAACATGATCCTTTTAATGTTCATAATTAAAAAATTAACACATTGCAACCCACCACTATTATTATGTGACAGATCTCTTACAAAAGAAAACGACAGAAACGGCGTTCCCCCACATTCAGACCGTGAATACTGCCTGATAATGTTTATTCGTAGTGATCTAAGTATAATCTAATGTTCCCCAAACCATGACAATGGGAGACGTAATAAATATTTCTGCTCTTGCTTGGTAGTTAATATAGACGTATGGAAGGGTGCACTGCATACATGGCCACATAGAATAATGATGGATTCATTTAAGCCATAGCTTTACAAATGGATAATGTATTACTCATTTTGTTGTAGAGGTAGAAGAACAGGCAGTGGAGGTTTTGTACTTTTTAGTTAAAGGGGAACTATTAACAAAATTAACCCCTGCAGTGGAACTACCACCACACTGCAAGGGTTAACTGCTTATTTTGTTGTCCAGGGGCCGGAATACAGAAAATATACTCACCTGCTCCTCGGTCCTGCAGCAGTCTGTGCTCACCTCTCTGCTCCGGCTGTGGTATGTCCCTCAGTGCCCTTACGTGTACGGCAGATGAATAGACCTGCATTAGATGTGATGACGTCAGCGGGCTTTACACCACCGGAGCACAGAGAAGAAGAGGCTGTGGGGACCGGTCTAGCAGCCTAGTGACCGAGGATCAGTCAAGTAAACCTTCTTTACTCCAGACCAAAACGAGTAGTTAACCCTTGCAGTGTGGGCAAAACAGAAAAATGGTCACCAGCACTCCAGAAATCCCTTTATTCATTCTCACAGGTCATATCACCATTCTCACAGGTCATATCACCATGCGTCGCCACTCATGGTGATATGACCTGTGAGAATGAATAAAAGGATTTCGTTTTGAAGAAAACCTGGAGTGCTGGCGAGCATTTTTCTGTTTTGCAAGTATTTGGCGGCGCGATCTGCAGCCACTTCAGCACCCCCTCCACATTGTATGGGGCTTTTCGGTCAGGAGTGCAGTGGGACTCTCTATGTGACTTGCTGTGCGGGGGTATAACCTCACTGCAAGGGTTGTTGTTAATTCGTGGCTGGAATATGTATGGCAGGATCAACAGATATATCTGTTGGATACATCCAAAAAAATAACAAAATACTTTTAGTGGTATATTAAACAGACTAAAAGAGAGCAAATAAGAGACGTGCACTGTTAGGGTTTACATACACTTTAATATGAATTCTTGATGTTCCATTACACTGGAGCACGTCTTTAATATCTATGTTAGCTGTCAATATACTGCATTACATAAATATTAGAAAATATATTCATGTTCTTAGAATATAACAGTTATGGCTCATCCTTGTGCATGCTCGTGTATCCTAATGTTTCATTTTCTTCTTTAGAGGGGTGAACAAAGGGTTTCCAAAGTGTCTATTGGTCTACTGGTCATCGCCTGGCTCTTTGCGTTCTCCATGTTATTTGTGGCAGTGGCAGGAAGAGTCACCTGGCTTCAGTTCCTGTTCTTCTTTTCATACATAAAACTGGCCATTACTCTGATGAAATACTTCCCACAGGTAACCTGTCTCAAGTGATGGGATGTTAATCTTTACACATAATATTGAATGCCGTGGGAATGGAAAAGCAGTATGTGATTACGTTTGCCCTTGTCTGGGTTGTGTGTGAATTGTTTCTCGATCCTGTGGGCAATACACAATGGAGGAACATATGTGGGGCTTAAGAGGAAGGGGCAGAGCTTTCCAGAAATAGTGACAGTTCAATGGTCCAAGGCAGGGGTCAGCAACCTTTAACACTCAAAGAGCCATTTGGACCCGTTTCCCACAGAAAAGAAAACATTGGGAGCCACAAAACCCTTCTGACATCTAAAATGAAGATAACACGGCATATATCGTTTTTTACCTTTTATGCCATGTATTGCATGTATATAGGTATATGGGGGCTTAGTAACGCACTGGACTCTGGGCTTACCTGTGACCCTGCACAGCCCACCTGAGACTTTCTATGGTGGGCTCTTAGCCAATCAGGAAGCCGGGCAGCGTGTAATGACTCGCCGCCCAGCTTCCTTATACCAGAAGATAAGGTATCGGGAGCATTTGGGTGAATACAAGTACTCGCCCAAATACTCGGCATCGGCACGGATACTAGTATCGGTATTGTTGCATCCCTACTTTCAAGGCATGCCAACTGTCAAGGTTGTCAATGTGCTTATTAAAGCTCTCATCCGAACTTTCAAGTCCTCAATGGCAACTGCAATCCAAATAGAGGCTAAGATGGCACCTTCCTTGGCTGTAAGTGATATCTTGTTATGGAAATTCGCTTGGGCTGAGCGCACAAATCCACGCCGCGCTAAAAGGTGTACTTTCAGCATCAAAGTGTGCCAAGCACAAACAATTCCGTCACGCTTAAAAGCACGGTGTATTAAGCTCTTTCGTACAAGCAAAGCCAATGCCCTGTAGTGTCAGGTAGAGTTAAGACAAGGTGATGCTTCACCCTGGAGTTTCTGTGTTCAAGATTGTAAGCCCTCAGGGGCCGGGCCCTCCTCACCATCTTGTCTTGAATTGTAATGTCTTCCTTATATTGTAAAGCACTGCGCTATATAAATCCTGTATAATAATAATTATACAAGTGTGTAGTTCTGTTTTAAGATAATCATATGAAGATCATTGTTGGAAGATGTAGCAGTTTATACATTAGGTTGTCCATGGTAGCTTCTATTGGCCTACACGTAAGATACAATGGGAAAGGGATCTCACTATTGTTTGCACAGGAATTTCAAGAGTCCTTCATGTATTAACATACACTCGAAACTATCCCCCCCCCTCCCCTTCCCCTTTGTCGTTATACAAAGTAATATTTGTGCCTGTGTTTTTTTAAAGGCTTAGTTCACCTTTCTGACCATGTTTCATGTTACGCCCATATTTCACATTCCCCACACCTCTCCCACTTTCCCGATTATTACTGTCTGTGTCTTCCTGTCCAGGTGACCACCGCTCCCCTCATTTTCTATCCTGCTGTTACAGGGTCAGGAAGTGAGGTGACTTCTCACTGGTTTGGTCATAGCCAGGAAAGACAGTGGCAGATGCATTTGTCCGATTCTATCCTATCCAAAATTAAAAGAAAATTATATTTTTTATGGTAGGACATGTACAGATTGGCTCATGTGGTTAAGTTCATAATAACTTATGTGTTATTAAAAAATGGGCTGCAGATATTAAAGAATGAACTTTTTTGTGTCTCAGGCCTACATGAATTTCCGCCGGCAAAGTACTGCGGGATGGAGTATTGGAAATGTGCTGCTTGATCTCACTGGTGGCAGCTTCAGCATTCTCCAAATGTTCTTGCAGTCTTACAATAATGGTATGTATTGCTATGTATTATGCACTGCTGGTATCGGTTCTGGACATCAGCCTGAAAATTGGGCACTGCTCTGTGATTTGAGACATCACACATTAGTGAGCATATGTCAGCTCATATTTTACCTGAACTGATTGTTGTGCATTGTAAATGGATGTTCTCAATGGACTTAAGATGGGGATAGGACATGTGTTAGGATCAGTAGTGGATGATGATGGAAGAACAAGCCGTGATTCACCCAGGGCCAGATTAAGAGCATCACAGGCCTGGTGCTGAGGATTTTGGTGCGCCTTTTTATGGAAATGGCGACGGTCACCGGGGTCCTCTTCCTCCTGTCCGAGCTGTGATTTGTAGTCTCTCTACAGCTTGGAGTCAGTGGTGGAACGCTAGAACCTGGTTGCAGCTGCGATCCTGGTACATCTGCCACTGACTCCAAGCTGTAGACTGATTCAGCTCAGGCACATCAGAGGGCCCTCTGATATGCCTGAATAGAGGGACGCGGCTGCATGGTGACCCGGACACTATGGCAAATGACACATTGTAGCTTATTGAATTGCATCTATAACTACAGAGATGGCTCCCTAGCTATAGGAGTGCCAACTGTAAAGAGTTACCCTTTCATGGTTGAATCGCTAAAGCCCAAAATGTATACATTGACTGCTACATAATGACCTGTAAGGTGTGCTAAATCAGGAGATGATTGTGACGTGTGGGGGATAATGCAGACCTTGGCTGATAGTCAATTATCTAAATCAGATTGACTTCTTTGGCAGTCTGTTGCTCTTCTGAGATAAAAGTGGTATGTCAATGGCATTGGCATGCATGCTTGCATGTTTCTTCCTTTGGCGGATAGGTCACGTGTCTGCTGCTACCTATTTATAGCCAGCTGTAGTTTGTGCTGACCTAATACACAGCTTTATTGAAGCCCCAGGAAACCATTTGTATTATAAAATGAAGGGCAGCGTTACAAATTGGTGAGGTGAGAAACAAGTTCTATTGTTTTTACCAGTGATGTCAATAATGAACAGTACATGAGCCACAATGGTGGACTGAGATACCATATGCCATAGTTTGCAGCAACATTCTGTGTTAATTATAGACTGATTGCAATCACAAATCTTTCTTTTCTTTCAACAGATGAATGGGAGTTAGTATTTGGCGACCCCACAAAATTTGGCTTGGGATTCTTTTCCATTATCTTTGACATTGTATTTATCATTCAGCACTATTGCTTGTACCGCAAAAATCAAGGCTATCAAAATGTTTGACCAAGTCGACCACACTCCAAAGCACTTTTTTTATTTTATAAACATTAATTTTTATTTTTCTATAACGAAGATATTTTTGATGCCGAGTTGTGCCTTAAATTGGTGGTGCTCACTGCTGGTCTGTCAGCCCGTGGCAATTTGCTGACTGGCAGAGATCAAAATCATGATAAATATCAATTATAGATATTTAATAGTATTTTTAGATACACATGGCCGAACTTATCTCATCTACTACTGTAAACACATTTGTGGTTTAAAAAGACTTGTCCAGTGTACTCTAACCAAATCCTACACAATTCAAGATCCAATTAGTCCCATCGCACTCCTAACTGCAGAAAAACCCAACGTACAGGGCGGGTGCCAGAGTAGCAGCAGATATCGAAAAGCCAACGAGAAAGCCACTCGCACTCCAATTCGATGTCCAGTCAATTATTTATTGGCTGAAGTGGTATGGCATCTTAATGCAACGTTTCGGAACCCAGCGGTTCCTTCCTCAGGCAACAGAAGGAAGGCTGAAGGAACCGCTGGGTTCCCGAAACGTTGCATTAAGATGCCATACCACTTCAGCCAATAAATGAATTGACTGGACATCGAATTGGAGTGCGAGTGGCTTTCTCGTTGGCTAACCAAATCCTAGGAGCACAACACAAAGGGGTTGATTTATAAAACTTCCGCACTGCTTCCTATGCTCCTCGGCTCAATCTAGTGGCTCAACGGCTGTGCGAAGGGCATTCCCTCACTAAAGGGGTGGGCGGAAGAATTATAAATAAACCCTATAGAGTTTGCTTTACTAAAAGAGGAGCGACTGTTCACTTAAATACATGAGCTTAGGGAATAAGGTGAAGCTGTGTTCACTCTGCATATCCAATCTTGTGCAAGGGAACTGCATGATTTAAAGTTAACAAAGTGCCACGATAAGCTTAGTGAATATTAACTTTGCTAAGAGAACAGTCTTGACACCCTTTGCAAATCATTCCACGTGTGCAGCATATTTGTTAGGGTGTAAGGCCATCCCTGTTTTTCCATCTGCTCACATCATGTCAGTTGAGCTGTTTTTTTCTGCACAACACTGCAGATGTATGGCGTGAACAAGGCACATACACAACCATTGTTTTCTATGTGCCCTGTTTATAATGATACATGTGCGGTGGTGGGTAGAAAAAAGCAGGCCAATGGACATGGACAAGGACAAGGAATTTTGAAGACCTTGTGCATTCTAAGCACATCCATGGGTCTCTCAGTGAAAGTTATACTACGGGCTGGTTACATGACCATGAAGATGGAAGCAGTTGTGTGTACTGTAAATAACTCTTCTCACCCTGCATCAAGCCTGAGGACCAGGGCAGATGGAGAATAGATTTAGGTAAAACCCCACCAGCGTTTATGCAATACTGAATTATAAATGTCTAGGTGGAGTTGGCCTTTACATACTTTGGACGTTACACTTCACGTGAAAAATTATTTTGTAGATGTTACAGGTAGGAAGATACAAAAGCACCTCTCCACTTTTTTATTCCAAAACAGAAATACCTCTATAAATTTGCACATTTTTTTGAACTGCCAAATATTCCTATTTCGCTCTGGCTGGAGAAGACAGTCTATGTGTAGAATAATATTCACCTTTTCCAGATCCAAGGCTGCCTGTTTCTAGCACTGAAAGTGTCCCAATGGTGCCTTCAGTGGAGGGAATACTAAAATCAATGGGGCCAACTCCCAACTTCTCTTACAAATATTGGGGAACGGAGGGAAAGTTACAAATTGACATATCAGAAATCATTGTTGGTCACTTAGAATAGGTTACAATGTTTGGTGACTTTAAATTATAACTAAATCATAAATAAATTCATTGTATAGTTTTGTTTTTTCCCCTAAAAGGCAGCATTTCTAGTTTGTCATGTGATTACACAGACATTGGGGGTGATTTACTAACCTAAACACACACACACACACGCACCAGGTGCGTGTGATTTTTACACAGCAAAGCGTATTTATCAACCAAAAAGTCTCTATAAGCATGTTTCCACTAATGCCATATATGGAAAAATCATGCACATGATGCATATATAATGCTGCTTTACAGTTTAGACAAAAATGGTTAGCTCATGCATTTACATTCCTGCATTCATCAACGCAAGCAACACAATGTAGAGCTAATTTACACAACATCACCTTGCAATTTTAGGGCAGGGCTTTGCACAACACACCTGCTGGGTGTGTACACACTACAAAGGTGTCTAGATTCCACCAATAGATCATGCTTGGAGGGAACACACTACAGAGGTGTATTCATGTTCGTGGTGTGTTTATAAGGTTAGTAAATCAACCCCATTGTCTTATATCACGGGGTGAAGACCAAAGACAAACAGGTCTATTCACAAAAGGGTGAAGAGTTTGGAGAAGGCAGGAGAAGTGACCAATCTAGGACAACATAGCCGATTTGGAAAAATTCTCCAACTCAACTCACTTTCCAGTTCAGCTATTTAGTCCTAGATTGTTCCCTTCACCCTGTTTGTGAATAACCATGTGAATGTAATGAGACAACATAACTTTTGCTCAATAGCTTTGCGAAAAATTGTAAAAATAATGTCTCAAGCACACAGATCATTAAAAAAATGGTATCTGAGGTTTTAACTGATGTGCTGATTAAATGAAGAGTTTTATTGCAATCTTCTTTTGATTTTTTCCCCCCATGCTTTAAAAGTCGGTAAAAGCCAATCCTTTTGTTGGCTTAACTTCTCTTTTGGTTCACAGTAGAATATTGGCTGATTGCTGTGCCAGCCCCTCAAAACAGTGCTGGAGGAACCGCAAAAAGAGGGGGAGAATCCCTGCAGGGAGAGGTGACTGACACTCACTGCTTTCTGCAGGTGTCTTGAGTGATCAGCAGTCACATGATCGGCCAGCTCTCGATCTATAGAGGCAGCTGCAGTGTCCCACACCAAGTACTGGTAACTGTAAATATTACTCCTTAAATAAATTGAAAAACAAAAAACACACAACAATCCCACTAACACTGGTCAACATGCACCATTGATTCCTTTTTTGATTCAAGCTCATCGGTTGGATGAAATAAAAAAAAATTAAAAAGAACCAAATCCACCACGTTTTTTTTTTTCCTGCGAGTAACTGCTGATGCAAGACGGGCTTGGCCAGTGTGCACCCACCATTCTCTGGTGGTGCTGTGTAGGAGCAGAAATATATTGGGCTATACAGGTTAATAACAAGGTGTGTTGCAAATCATTAAAAAAGACCAAGAGCCGCAGCTTGTAAAATCCAGTTCCTTTTTAATTTGTGTACAAACAATATAAAAACCTAACTAACACATGCCATAGTGAATTGTCACTTTGGCACGGATTGATACGCTTGTGAACAGTGCAATATTAGTATTGTAAGGGTCTAGGTGTTAATACATCATTCCATTACTGAAGAGTATGGATTCAAATAAACCAGGGGTAAAGAACATTTCAACTTTAAAAAAAAAAAAAATTATACAGTAATAAAGTTTTACTAAGGCATAGTGATTTAGGAGCGTAATAAAGAGAAAATACATTGGAAGATAGTAGAAAACAGAAAGTTGCCACCTGTAGCAGCTTAAATCCAATGTCATTCTAAGCAGGGGGTAGTCAAACTTGAGCCCTCCAGCTGCGGTGGAACAACAACTCCCATCATGCCTTTGCAAGTCATGCCTGAGGCTGTCAGTCTCGCAATACCTCATGGGACTTGTAGTTTCACCGCAGCCAGAGGGCTGAAGTTTGGCTACCCCTGTTCTAAAGCCAAACACATTGATGTAGATCTGGGGAAAAAAAATTGTAGTAACAAGTATGCTTTATTGGGGGGGGGGGGGGGGGGGACACCCAAAAAAAACAGCT